ACACATGTTTGTTTTTTGCCCGACGAATTACTGAGTTTTGAGTTTTGCCCAATCTCGTACCCAGAGTATGCCCGTTCGCAGGTTAGGTGCTGGGCTGCGAACGGGCATACTCTAGGTACTAGAGGTGTGCATCGGATCGGATTGGACGTTTATAATCCGACAATTGCCTAATGTTTAAAATCCGATCCGAAATTGTCTAATCCGAATCCGATCCGATCCCAGTTTTATTTTATTTATTTTATTTTACAAGTTTGCCATTGCAATAGATCTATATAGAGTACTATGGTTACAAATGACTGGAATTTCCACACAGAGATAGTTCTCCAATAACGGGGTTCGAAAAAAGAGCAACTAATGGTATATCTAATTATTTTGAAGTTAAAGCAAACATAACAATTAAACACAAATACAAGAAGACAAAGCAAACGTATTGACGAACAAACGAACAAAAACTAAATTTAGCAACATGTTCGAGTTGATAAGTTCATTAGTGCGCGAGTGATGTAACATTTAATACACACAGACTTAAATGTTCTTGGATCTTCAGGGTCATAAATTTGTTGGGTTAATTCTACGTAGTATTTCATTAGATTACATTTAAATGTAGTTGGAAATGTGGTGGTATTTCTTGTGAAGCCGGGAAGCGTGTTCCATACATTAGCAGCTCTGATGTAAAAGCTGTTTTGAAAAGAAACAGTTTTACTTTGGTTACATGAAGTAAGATGCCGTTAGTTGAACTAGTATTCCTTGTTTCTCGTGTAGGGATTTTATAGATATGTTATTGTCAGAGTTATTTATAAAGCATATCTAAATACTCATGCCAGTAACATAGAGGGAGGATTTCGATGGTAGCCAATCGTTTCTTATACTGGATAGATGTTTTGTACGGGAGCGAAAAAATAAATTTTGATGCACGTCGCTGCAACCGTTCGATCGTTAGGATGTTGTTGACAGTTTGGGGTGCCCACACTTGACTACTGTAAGCTAGCTGGCTTCGAACGATGGTCAAGTACAGTATCTTTCGAACTCTTTTATCGTGAATGCCGGACGCTGTTCACTTGACAAAACCCAGCATTTTGTTAGCTTTTGAGGATAAGTCCTGCACGTGCTGGTTCCACTTCATATCTTTGGTGATACTTACGCCAAGATCTTTTACACAGGTTAAAGGTTTGACTGGGATGTCAACTAATGTGTACTGGTTGATAGTAGATTGGAGACAACGAGTAAATTGAAGAACTCCGCACTTGGATTTATTTAAATCCATCCTCCAGTCTTGACACCAGTTCGTAATATTGTTAAGATCTGATTGTAGGATTTCTCTGTCTTGGGGGTTACGAACAGCGCGATGACATTTAGTATCATCAGCAAACATTGACACGGCAGTACCTTGGGAGACGCTATCGAGAAGATCGTTTACGTAGATAAGAAAGAGGATTGGTCCAAGAATTGATCCTTGGGGAACGCCGGGTAGTACCGGGAGCGGCTGAGATGTAACACCATGTACAGTGACTCTTTGAAAACGCCCAGAAAGATAATCTTTGAACCAACGAAGAAGACTACCTTTGATGCCAAAGTTATGGAGTTTCACAAGTAAAAAGTCATGACTTACTTTGTCAAATGCTTTCGCAAAGTCGAGGTAAATCGTGTCAACTTGGCATCTTTTTTCAAGCATTTTATGAATGTTGTGAAGAACATGTAAAAGCTGGGAAGTGGTAGACTTGCCTCTTTGAAAACCATACTGTAACTCATTCAGTTTGCTGGAGATATGATCTATTTAACAATTAGTCGCCGAAGGCGAGGTGATTACAAGCCTATATTCACTGAGCCGAAGGCAAAGTGAATATAGGCTTGTAATCACCGAGCCTGAGGCGACTAATTGTTTTAGTATAAATTTCCAGGTGTTTACAAACAATAATCCACACAACTTTATAAAAATTCACTTCAAATAAGTTTATTTTCACTATAAATAGTTTGTTTACAAAATTTAAATCTCAGACACGGCTCTGTGTCGCGTTGCGACTAAGCCAGTTTTTTTTCCAAATAAAAGCACGTAAAGTTTAATATTTTACCTTGAAATATTTTTAAACCATATTTTGTAGCTTGTTTGGGTTTTTTCGGAATGCTATCTTCTTTAATTTTGGCAATTTCCTCCTCTGTTACTACGGCAAAACGAGCAGCCATTTTGAAAAAAAAGCTATAGTCACTGACCAGTGACTATCACTTCAGAGACAGTGAATCTTGACCAATCAGAATGCAGAAAAATCAATAGTCACCTGGAAATTTATACTAAAAGTCTATTGTATATGCAACGTTCAAATACCTTCGAGACTAACGACAGAAGTGAAATTGGTCTATAATTGGAAACTTCATAAAGTGGACTTTTCTTTGGGATTGGACAAACATTAGACAACTTCCATTCTGATGGAAGTAGACCAGACGCTAAACTTTTGTTGAAAAGTTCACATAATGACGGAGCTATACTAGCCGCGCAGTTTTTTAGTAATACTGCTGGGATTTTGTCAGGACCAGTTGCTTTCTCTTCGTCAAGATTTCGAAGTACATACGAACTTCTCCTTCGGTTAGAGTAAGATCTGATATGGTGGTTAGATCATGTCATCTTCAAAATCAACAGACGAGAGTTGGCTGTGGGTATGGTCGGGAGTTTGAAACACCGAGTAGAAGTAGCGATTTAGCATATCAGCAATATCAGCTGGGTTGTCAGCAGTCGAACACGTTGAATCTTGAGTGGACCATGACATTTTACCAGGGATGTTGGAGTGATTTGAGGTGGATTTAAATAGTGACCAGAACTTTTTGCTACTGGACTTTAACAAAGATGGAAGTTTTTGAAAATACGCCGTACGTTTAGCTTGTATTAACGTTTTGGCTGATCTTCGAAGTTCGCGGAACTTTTCCCAAAGTCTAGGAGTTGCGTCGTGTTTAACCCGTTTTCTGCACTTATCTTTCTTCGAGAGAATACGTTTAACTTCACCGTCAATCCAGGGAGGTGAGTTGCTCCTTTTGAACGATTTTAAAGGAATATATTCAGTAGCGGCTCTGAAAAAGAGACCTTTCCATCGCTCCCAATCGGTGTTAACGTTAGTTGACTGGTTAGAAGGAAAAGTAGTGTGATTGATAAAGTAGTGTGATTGATAAGTAGTGTGATTGTATATTTGTTTTTGTTTTGATAAACAATTCCAATCCGATCCGATCCGAAGAATTCTTTAATAAAATAAATTTCTCATTCAGGTTGAAATATTTAACTAAATAAATATAAAAGCAAGAAATACATGTCAAGAAGCGGACAAAGTGACGTCCAATTGAAGTATCAAACGAATAATGCAGCAACAACCGCGATAATGCTTTGATAAATGCATGGATAATTAATTCTTGCGATAATGCGTGGATAATTAATTCATTTTATTTCGGATATCGGCTTTAGATTAAGGAGAGCTCGGGGCAGATGCCATTATCGCGTGCATCGTGCAACTGAAGTAGCCTTTCTCACGCCGCCATTTTTGGGTGGCTTTTCAGCCGAAGTCTGCGAGATAAGTCCACATAACAGCGACTTTTTATAGTTTTTTTGACGAATGATAGTAAATTTGCTCGGTAAATGGTTAGTTTATTTTAAAAAATTGCTTTTCACATTGTTTTAATTGTCTGCATTGGTTAACGAGAATTAGATGCCACCCAAAAATGGCGGATATTCGTAAGCGTGAGAAAGGCTAATTGATGTGATTAATTGATCCTGAGTGAGAAAGTGCGGAAACGTCACAGACATCATGTTTAGTCTATGGCATTCTGACATCAACATTTTCCCTAGACTTAGTTTCCAGGCCTAAACTGTGGTGAGAGTGTGCGAGCTGGTTAACCGAAGAAAACACGTCACACCGCAGTTTTATGAGGGCGCACCTCAATGGACTAGCCTCCCCCACTCCAAAATAAAAAGTCAGCGAGCCCTTAGTTCGTGACGATTAAGTTTCAGCTGCGTCCTTCATTCCCTGCTGGCAGAGGTCTCTATTTGTGCTGGAAACTCGAAGAAGAAGAGACCTCTGCCTAGGTCTGACACGTTTTCTGTCGCGCATGTGCAAGAATTGCCATGACAACGAGTGATTTTCACCACGTGATATCAAACCGGTTTTTGCGGGAGCAACTTCGTAATTCAAAGACTTACCGTAGTTTGAAGGCAAGCAAATGTATCTCGGCCCGATAAAACAGAAAAGATTGTTTTGTTTTGTTCTTCTGTCACTGCTTTCACAGTTTCATCTTTGAAAATATCAATTACATAACTTAGAGCACTTCAAACAACATGAAAAACCTCGAAATGACCACGCTGTCCAAGCCGCCATTTTGACACTACGGGCTCAATGTCATTACAGCGTAATTCAGCTCTAAGCATGCGTACTATTTGTTTCTCTAAACCGGTTTCAGAACTTGTTTTACAAACTAGTTTGACTCGTCCACGATCATGGACTGAGGAAGTGTCGGATCTAGGCAGAGGTCTCTTCTCCTTCGAGTTCCCAGCACAAATAGAGACCTCTGCCAGCAGGGAACGTCCTTATACATATTATTAGAACCCTCTATTAAATATACTTTATTTTATCGTTGTTGATGCAGATGTTGATATAGTTATAGGGCAATTGCTAGATAGTATACTTCAAAATAAGGTTTCCGTTTTTATATCAATTTTTAATTTTTAAAATAAGTTAGGGTTAGGTTAGGGTTTACTTTCTAGCAATCACCGTATAAGAATACTAGTTTCTTATAATGCTAGTTTCTTGTCATTAGCACGGATATAACACTAGCATATTAATATTAAACAGCAACATCACTACGACTTCATAACCAACATCGACATCTTGCAACTTCAACGTTAAACAACTATAGAAAGTATACTGTTGTTTGATATTAATTATAGTATTATATCCGTGCTAATGACAAGAAACTAGCATTATAAGAAACTAGTATTCTGAAACCGGTGTTTCTATTTTTAATTTGTAGATTTTGCCAACACTGTCAACACTTCCAGGAAAACCCTTTCACAAATGTTTCGAACGAAGTCGTGAAGTTGAAAAAATGTGGTCCATATACGAAAGCATGAACAGTGAAAACGAGGCGCATTTGACAAGTCTTTACTTAACTGGCCCTCCTGGTTCAGGCAAAACGCAGTTGGCGCGACAATTCGGGGAAAATTTTCTAAAAGACACACCAAATGACATTGACAATCGTCCAGTAGTGTTGACAATCGATGTTCAGTCAATTAAATCGTTATTAAAATCTACAAAAGACGTGTTACATCAGTTAAACCTGGTTAAGGCAGATAATACCAAAGAAAGCGACGAGATTAAAGTCGTGCAATTGTATATGGAGACATTACGAAATATTCTAATTAAATACCCTGGAAAGTGGCTTCTCATTTTCGATAACATGTTTTGTGATAAAGATTTTAAAGGAATACTACCGCAACCCGGTTGTGAAAATTGGGGAGATGGCAAAATTATCATAACCTCCCAAAATAGAGATGTTGCTCCAGTCTGTCATGAATACGCTAAACCGTACACTTTGAAGCATGGATTGGAAGAAAAAGATGCAGTAAATTTGCTTGAGGAAATCAGTGGTCTTAAAGCTGATGAATTCGCTGTATGTTTAGCAAGAGAACTAGATTATTTCCCACTATCTATTGCGTGCTCAGCGACCTATGTTAGTCAGATGATTAGAGATCGTCCATCTAGTAATTTCTCGTGGAAAAACTTTCTCGAATTGTATCGGAAACACAAAGGGAAGCTGACATTTCGAGCTTTTGAAGACAACATCTATCCCCATTCGATGGTTATTGCTGCACGACTGGCTACAAACCGCCTAGCCGAATATAGCAATGTCCTTCGTCATGCATTTGACTTCCTGTCATATTGCACCATAAGCCCGGTACCTTTAGTCATTGTTTCAAACTTTGTCCAAGCCTCGCTTTCGTGTGATGCAATAATTGATGAGATCATGGCTGAAATTTCACGCTGTTCTTTACTGTCAGATTCGTCCTCCTCATTTGAAACAGTGGAAAATATTGCATTCCATCAAGTAATGGGAGAGGCATTCGTAGGCGTAAGAGAGGAACGTGCTGCTGCGCAAAAATTGGATACTGAGGAAAGGAGAAAGGAATACGCCACTTTGCTACATTCCTCACGAGAGAGTTTGGAAAAAGCGATTCCCGATTACGATCGAAGTAGCGTCTCCATTAAGGTGTTAGCAAGTCCACATTTGAAGTCGATTATTAATTTTGGCAAAGTTAAACAATGGACAGATTGTGAAGAATTTGTTGTTATCTTAGCTTTTCTTGCAGATTGTCTTTATCACGTTCCTGGTGTTACCGAAGCTGAACGCATCTCATATTGTGAACTTGCTCATGAAATTGTGCGTCGTCTCCCCAAACCTATGAAAAGTATTCGATACTGCCATGTACTTAAAACCCTTGGTTTTTACTACCGAGAAGCAAATCGCTTTGAAGAAGCTGTGGCTGTGTTAGAAGAAGCTGTGGCTGTGTTAGAAGGTCTGCGCTTGACGCATGGTGACGATAGCGAAAAATGGAAAGCACTGAAATCTTCCATACTGAATGTTCTCTCTTGGACGTATAAATTACAGACCAAATTCGACCTCGCAGAGCAGACTATGAAGGAGTCGATCCATCTTGCTGAAAAATCTTTCGGGGACGATCATCAAGAGGTTATAGCGAGGCTTTGCAATTTGGCAATAATATACCGCGACAAGCAAGACATATCCAAAGCTAAAGAGACAGTAGACCAGGCACGTCAAATGACTAAGATCACGACATACGAGCGGCACTTAACAAGAGCACAAGCAACCAATTTCTCGGGCAAAATTTACTTACGTTATGCGGAAATGATTGCCAACCCGGAAGAAAAGAATGACCTGCTGAATGAATCATTGAAATTTCACGCTAATGCATTAACCATTTACGAAAATGTTTTGGGAAAAAATCATATTTATGTAGCAGGTGTGTGTATGACTTATGCCCTTGTGTACAAAGAACTAAATGACCATGATCGTGCGCTTGAACTTGTGAAACGGGCGGAGGAAATCTTTCAGAGTGTGGAACATGTCCAGTTAAGTTATGCTCTGCGTTGCAAGACTGAAATATTATTGGCTCTTCGTAAAGCTGATGATGCTGAGAACGCTATCAAGAGAAGCATTGAGATAGAAAACTGTGACGGTGCAAGATTTTTGTTATCCGTTGTTTATCTGCAACAGAAGAAATATCAAGAATCAAGAGCTATTATCCAGGAGGTTCTGGCCCGTTGGAAGTCAGGTGTTCTACCTCCAACTCATATTTGGGTAAAAGAAGCCGAGAGGATAAAGCAACAATGTGATAGAGGAATACTAAAAACGTACATTTTTAGACTTCTTCCGGTAATTATCTTGCTTGTTTCTATCTTTCTGGGTATTTGGTATAAAAGTATTATGTCCTGAAAATCTGTAGTATAGAGAAATTATATCATTTTTTGGCCGTTGAGGTGTTTGACATGAAACCGATTTTTAATAATGTTTCCAAAGTCGAACTGCAATCAACAAAACTGCATAATAACTTCGGTGGTCGGGAACGTTTGGCTCATCTTTTGCCACCAAAACAGGAGGCACATTATTACTTAAGACAGTGACAGTGTCGTGTTTTGTTGATTACACCGTGAACACAAACAGTCGACTTTTAAACACTTTTATTCTTTCGTCTAAATTGTAAATAGTTCTATACTATTATAACACTTTTTCCTAATTTGTACTTATTTTAATTGTATGTGACTTATATTTGGATGGTAATATTGCATGCACGCAATGCAGCTTCTAAGCTACAGTACAATATGTGTATTTTTAATAGACCTTATTCATAAATCGTGATCGAGGCCTCGTATCCTAGGATACGGGAAAAACGCGGGAAAATTAACAAAATACTTTTTGCTGTCGGCTATGGCAGCTTTTTTTCGAAAATATTACGGCTTTTTTAAAAAACAATATCTTTAAAACTGAGCTTGAAAGTTGAAATAATACTTCTGAGAAAATATAACATGGTATTTAAAGCAAAAGATGCTGGAGTCAATCGGAAAAGGAAACACTGTTTGTATTGTCGTAGTTTGTATGGCCAAAACAAGCAAACAACCAACAACCCTTACAAAACGTCTACACTGACCAGAATCGTAAGAAATATGAAACTATTGTTGAAGAAATAAGATTACAACTCACTCAGGTAATGTAGCCTTCATTTTTTAAACTTGTAAGCTGCTTGCATGCAGTGTCATCGAGCCACAGGCACAGGCATGGTTCATATATTTTCCCGTACGAGTCAATAACATTTGACGTTCTCTTGTGATTTTTGACCTCTTGTTTTCTTTCATATTAATGTCAAATTCCAAAAATTATACTTTCATTCCATAGTTGTCTTGATTTTTTACGGAATAACCTATATATTAACCAGTGGCGGCGCCAGGCCTCCGAATTTTGGGGGGCATTTGAGGGGAAAACTCATATTCTGGGGGGCAAGATAGAATTTTTAATAAGTTCGCCCCCCCCCCCCCGAAGGAGATTCGCCCCCCCCCCTCAAAAGAGGGGAGATATTCCTAGGAATATCGCCTCCAGGGGCGAATATCCTAGGAATATCGCCTCCCAGGGGGGTGGGGCGAATACCCTAGGAATATCGCCCCTCTCTAGGATATTCGCCCCCCATATATGCGATGTGGTTTATTCAAATAATTTCATGATACTTTCATCTTATTAGTGCCTTACATGTTTCAGAATTTAACTCTGCAAAACTAAAGCTTTTTTGTCTTTTTTTGAGACGTATTATTGGAGTATTGGCAAGTTTTACCATTCAGAGATTTACAAACTAATATTGAAACTGTAAAAAACAGTTTCATGTATACGCGCATTCACTAATGAGTAATGACAACTTACAAGCCATACATTTTCCGATAACGACAAAACACTTGTGTAGCCTTTAGTCGCTTTTAGTGACTAATAATTTTTTTGAGGGGGGGGGGGGCAAAATGGGGGGGGGGGGAATAGATAATTTGGGGCATTTCCCCCCCCCCCCCCACCACCACCACCCTAGCGCCGCCACTGATATTAACGTTAAAATCTCAGTAAAATACTGTTTTTCGCTTCTGGATAAACACCATCGCTACGTCATATTTTCCACACAAAAAACGGGAGAAAAACCGGTCGTTTTTATGCTCGTTTACAGCTTTCGTTATGGGCACAAAGCCTTAAAATACACTAAAAAATCGTTATAAATTGAAATAAGGAACAACAGACAAGCCGTTAACGTTAAAGTCGACACAATAGCATCACGATTTATGAATAAGGTCTATAAACTATCTATCATCCATCTATATCTATATATGTATCATGCATCTATCTATGTTCCAACGTAAAAGAATTGAAATTCCACGAACTCAAAAAATTATTAATAATACTATATATAGTACCAATACTCAATAGTACTATAATTGTTTTTGCCAAAAGGCTTCTCTCCAAACGGAGTTGCTCCACAAACAGCGCTTTCCTTGTGCACAAGGAGTGTGTTGACTTGACGCAGCCACCGGAGAACGTAGGAAATGTTTAAAAACATCAAAAGCATTAACATGCTTTGAAGTAAACACTCGTTTATTCGTCAAATAATTATCAATACAATCATTATAAGAATTTTAAACTCAACCCCTCCAAACTCCAAACCAGCCTGATCCACCACCTTATCAGGAATAATCTCAAACATTAACTCCATTTTCTATTTTTACTTTCTCTTGCCTCGAGCTGTCTGCATTTTTTCACATTTTTTACAGGGATATTTATCAACACTGTCTCATCAAAATCGTTACGAAGACTCTAAAATCGTAAGAAGATACGTACGCTACCCGCATCACTCACAAATCCAAACAGTCGTTTGATTTTTTCACCCACAGCTTCAACACAAAAACAGCGCAACTAATTGCAAAATTACAAAACCGCAGTTTTTTATACACAAAAAGTACGATATTGTTACCTTTCGCACGTCACTTCCATTCCTCTTTGTCTCTATCTTCAACTCTTGGGCATTGGCAAATAAGTAATCTGGTCACCACTGTTTTGTACAACATATCATTGTTTTGTTTTTGATGTTACTCTGAGTGTATATCCACACCGGGCAGGCCGAAAAGTTAGCCTGACCACGGTGGGAATCGAACACGCGACCTTTGGGATGCTAATATTACGTTTCACGTGAAGAAAAACAGCATTTCACGTTTCACATACACAACTTTTTAACCGCATAAATGTTCCTTTCAGTCTTGAGTATTATTAGACTTTCACCGTATTTTTATATATTTTTTGGAGACTTTTAAAACCAAGCGATATATTTAGTAAACAAAATACATGCACAGTAAAATTGTTACATTCGAAGCATAAAATATTGCTCTTCTGCACATTAACACTACTCACTACTCGTCCAGCCTTTGTTCTTCCGACCTCAAAAATCGTCTCGCCTCCGGACAAAAATTACAATCGCAGCTCACGGCTAGACATTTAAATCACGTTTCACGAGAGAAAAATCCATCATTTCAGATTTCAAGGGAACAATAATTGGAATATTGTCAATTCACGACTCACATTTGACACGACTGACATTTTTGTGATATTCAGAATTCGGACAATCATACAGGGGTAATGATAATCCAATGACTGTTTTATACAGGCAGTGGCGGGAATCTCGGTTCTCGGGTGGGGGCGACCGCCCCACCCCCCACCACCTTCACGGAAAATGCCAAAATTTTCGGAAATTTTGACCTAAAAGATGGCTAAAAACAGCCCTTTCGAGTGTAAAGGGGGGGAAGGGGTTGTCGGAAATTTACACCCGGGAAAACGAACGCATTAACTAGCGAAGTCTGAAGTTTATCAATGATCGCGGTGTTTCGGTGGATGGTCATTCTCACTGATCTCAAAAATATGACGGACTGTCATGAATAGCGAACATTGATTACTTGATGATTTCTTGCAAATATATTTCTTTCTTGCAAGATTTTGTGAATTTCAAAAGCTTTTTAAGAAAATATAAAGGCGAAAGAATTGCTGAAAGAAGGTAGCAAAGGCGCCGACGTTAACCAAGGTAGGTTTGTTTTAAATATTCAGTGATGACCTTTTTTATTATATTAAAATGTTTAATAAATAAAAAGAAAGCAAAGTTGTTTGAATGCGGGCATTTGAAATCATTTTATCTCAAACTCAAAGTTTTTCGATAAAGGCAGTTTAGTTTTATAAAGAACATTTTAAAACGTCTTTCGAAGCGTTTGAGGTTGAATTTTACCTTAAATTGAAGCTTATATTACGTATAATAACATACCTAACATATAGTATGTTTGGGGAATTGATAATTTTGTAATTAAAATTGATATTTTTAGGGGATTTTTCATTTGTAAAAATATTCTTAACAAAATTATCGTGTTACTATAGGCAGCCCAAAACGGCGTGTAGAACGGACCAAAATGCTTCCAAATGTCAATTTATATTAAGCTCGCCCCATTCCTCTGTCATTTGTCGTGCACCGCAAGCGCTCAATGAAAAGCATTGTTCGTATATATAGAATATACCTAAGGTTGGCAACTATATCTCAACTGACGAATATACGACTTCGGCAAAACGAAAAATACTTCGCACACGTAAATAAATGATAAAAAATTATACCACAATAAACTCTGATAATTTGTTTATATGCCCGCACATAAATTTTGTTTTCAAGACTGCAAGAAAGATGAAAAATTTGCACAAACGTTTCATGGTTTTACGAAAATTGTGCTGTCTCCATGCGGGATGCTAGAGGTTATTTCATTCGTCATATTTTCAAAAAAATTATGCGATTCAATTGGATGAAAAAATAGACAGTTTGTGACGTTTTATAGTAAAAATTTGGTTTCAGGGGGGTTGAACTACAACAGGAAAAGTGCTAAAATGCAAGAGCGATTTTTTTTCGAAGATGAAATGGTGGATTTTGCTGACAACTTTTTACATCCATCCATAACTTTTATCTACAGCAAAACAACCAGACAACTTTTGGCTACATGTATACGTAATGTCATAAAATTCTGAGCAATAATGGCAAAGAAAATTTGTTAACAAGACGGCGATATGTGATCATGTTTCTTTGTGACTTGTGAACCTTGCTCGGCAAAGTTTATATAGGTGAATTTATTTATAGCGTTTTAATTTAACTTGGATCAATAGATTGGATCAATTTAATAGTGTATGTATATTTCCCAAAAATAGGCGGCAATTTGTAAGGGTGCTAGTATAGTTTATATTAAAACCCCAACATGGAATTTTGCATTTATATATAAACAACCTCATATCAAAGTTCTGAAAGTTTCGTATTCTATAATAAAAATTTATGAAACTTTCAGAACTTTGATATGAGGTTGTTTATATATAACCTAAACATCTCCCTAGTTCAAAACTTTAAAGTACATGTATAGTTTTTAACAAAAACTAGTGACTGTATATATTTATACTGTGAATACTGCCCCACTATATGATATTAAATAAAACAGGGCAAAATGCAAATTTGTTTTGATATAAAAACAGTTTTATAGTGATATATAGAACAGTTTTACATAACTCATTCTCATCCGGTCGAAAAGTACCAATTTCGAGTGGTGTTGTTTCAAACGCTTATATCTCTCAAATTATACATCGCACGGAAACAGAAATTGCATCGTTCGAAAGAGGAGGACTTCCGCTTTCCAACAATACCAATTTCAATTTCAACCGGAGCTTGGTTAACGATTTACTCGCATAAATTTGCATAAATTATGATATAAAAAAATGTTACAATTATGCATAAATGTATTTAGCGGTTCAAATTTCAAATATGTCAAAAAATTTTATGAGTATGACTGAAAGACACGGTTATGATCTACAAGTACCCGAAGTTTCATGCATGTAGCATAAATAGAAATATTTTTATTGAATTTTTATATAAACTAGGTAGTGGAGTAAAATTTACATTTTGTGCTCACATGAAACAAATACCTTTATCAAAGGTCCTTTTTTATTGCTGCAACATGTTATCAATACAAATTTTCAATATTTCTTACTCTCCAAAGATAGTATGGCACCAAAATAAGTCTGTGATACCCACAAAAGAACACTCAAATCATGATTAGCAAAATGTCTTTATTTCTACAATTACTACATACATTCTTAGATAATCATTACAGAATTGACTTTAGTTATTAGTGGCATAACCAGCCTCAAAATTGGGTCATGCTATTGAAATTTGAAATAATCACTACTCATTTGTTTAGAAATTGATTGTTTTCACAATCTAGAACATGAAAATATTTGCAAATAGCATGATCAAGTGTTGTTGGGCTGGCATCATCATAATTAGTAGTTATAAAAAAGTAATGTTTTCCAAGGCAGTAATGTTTGCTAAAGCAGTAATGTTTGCCAAAGCACATAATTGGATTATGTGGTGAAAATATTTCCTTTATATTGTACTACAAAAGACCTAAGACTGTAACCAAACTGATATCAGATCACCACGTCATACCCAAATCTGTTGCGATGAATATCTGGACTTCTTCCTGTATAAATTTCAAAGTCGCAATATAACCATTAGGATTGTCTGCAGCAACCCACAGATTTATTCCCCACATAGTAGGTCATCTAGCTTTCATGAACTGCCTAACCCCCAACCTATTTCTTGATTTGACAGTGTGTTTGTCTGCAACAACAATATTCTGTGACGGCTGGTACAGTTGTTGATGCAGTTTATTGCTGTAGTCTTTAGTACAGGATCTACCATATTCACAAACGCCATAAGCGCTTTGTACCTAACCCGAGAAATTATGTTTATTGCCCACAGACCATGATATAAGGTTTTTACACTCCAATAATTTTCAATCTCACTGTCGATCTTTAGCAAACCTGCATATTATACTAAAAGGCAATCAACCTCTCAAGGTTGGTGGACTGCAAGACCCTTTTTTATTAGTATATGGGGATAACTTTTGAGTTATTTGTATGTGGGCATATGTATTGGTATGGCCAGGAAACTACCTCCCGAAGCATTCCCTTAGTAAAAAAGAGTCGAATGAACTCAAGCTCACAGTTCATTGAGCCGAATGAACTCAAGCTCACAGTTGATCGAAATGGATCCTGGACATGTCAGTGAGGAGCAAAATCTGGGAGAACATTCCTGACGTCAGGATCATCATATCCGTCATGTACTATGGGGCCTAGTGGGGATGCTAGACAGGTAGCTTTCGAAACCTTAGGTCCTAATGGCTGGGCTTCCCTCTACCTCTACTCATCCCCCTACCTTCCCTCTGGGTTGGTGAGTGGGGTTCTCACGACTCATCAGAACTCTACTTCCCTGAGGCTATGAAACAGGAACAGCAGATAGGAACATGATCAATATATTCATCAGTGCGAATAAAAACTTTTATAGACATGGTGCCATATAAAATTATAAAAAGAGCCAACTAGTAAGGGCAATTGATAAAACTAGAATAGTGAAGCGAATAGTGCGAATAGTACGAATAGTCCACGAATAGTCGACGAATAGTGCGAATAGTCCGCGAATAGTCGACGAATAGTGCGAATAGTCCGCGAATAGTCGACGAATAGTACGAATAGTCCACGAATAGTCGACGAATAGTACGAATAGGCGACGAATAGTACGAATAGTGCAATAGAGACTTTGCAAGGCTTTGCAGCAGTGCTGTAGAACTAAATTTACCGGGGGGGGGCTCTGTTGACAAACATGAAATCGTGAAAACATTCGTCGACGTACGTCAATGACGTCATACGTCTAGTGATTGTCATCAGTGGCGCCGTGGCCGGGGGGGGGGGTCAGGGGGGGACATGGCCCTCCCCTATTGTTGACACCCGTCGTAAAATTGCCAATGCTGCCGGAAATTGTCGGAAAATTGTCAAGGCTGTCGGAAATTGTCAAAGTTGTCGACGGGGGGGGGGTGAAGATTTAAAATGTTGTCGTCCGGAAAACTTTTTGGTTTGTCGGAAAATTTTTTCGGTTTGTCGGAAAAGTACTGCCCTTGCCCCCCCCCCAAAAAAAAAACATGGGTCCCACGGCGCCACTGATTGTCATTCTACTTCCTGTTAAATATTTGTTAAAACTCAGTGGTCCCGTAATTTTTACCGATTACGTATGACGTCATTGACATCAACGAATGTTTTCACGATTTCATGTTTGTCAATAGAGCCCCACCCCCCGCTTCGCCCCGGTAAATTTAGTTCTACAGCACGGTGGAAAGCCTTGCAAAGTCTCTATTGCACTATTCTTCGACTATTCGTACTATTCGTCGACTATTCGCGGACTATTCGCACTATTCGTCGACTATTCGTACTATTCGTCGACTATTCGCGGACTATTCGCACTATTCGTCGACTATTCGTAATATTCGTCGACTATTCGCGGACTATTCGCACTATTCGTCGACTATTCGCGGACTATTCGCACTATTCGTCGACTATTCGCACTATTCGCTTTACTATTCTAGTTTTATCAATTGCCAACTAGTAAGATATAAGTATGAATACTTGGCTATTATGTATGTAACAAACAACCAAACATGTGCTCAAGGCTCATTTTAGTTCGCCTAGGAATCAGAGATTTTTATGCCTAAAACACCATAAATTTTCGTCAACAATATAAATAAATACCATTTATATTTGTCAATTTCAGTATGAAACGATTATTTCAACACAAAAAAGCGATATGAGGACATACTTGGTCGTACTAGTGAAGCCATACTAAATACAAACAAATTTACAACGCCATGGCAACGGCAAAACATTGAAATTGTCTAGAACTGATACAAATACTTGCCTTGAAACTCCAGACACGACTCCCAATGCCAGGTTGAGATACTTGTCTTCATACGAAGACATTCCATCATTACTAGCACTATCAGTTTGCAAAATAAAGCCAAAAACGTCTTCAGAATGCGATTCAAACAAAACTACAACACAATACATTTCAACGCTTGTGCGTTCCCGTGCGCGATAATCAGGAAAATTGCTCTAAAAGATTTGTTTTTCTGCCTAAGCCAATCAAAATCCGTATCTAGGGTAAACAAACACTCCGGAAGTGATTCCTGCAGTCTTTACCAGGAAACTGTAATGCTTTACCAAGAATTTGGCGTCCGAAGTTGGCCGAACACTTTCCGATCACGAGAATTGCCATAATAGGCTTAGATTATTTCGCAATTTCCCGAGACTGCTCCGAGCTATAGAATGGAAGATGGCGATTCTTTTGGTATATTTGTTATTATTATACGTGGAAAAGAAGCAAAAAGACGAGCATTTGAATCAGGCGGAACATTCAAAATGCAACTGCAAAATTGATAATGTGTCATTTGCATAAATTTCACCGCATTGATCATTTCAAGGTACAAAATTCGCTTGAAATTGAGCGAGAAACAATAAAATTATATGAATATTTCTGAATATATAGTATCGATCAAGCGGAATTTTTTGGTGGTATTTTCGTATGTCTACTGCAAATACTCGCGAAGTTCTTTAATATTTAATCTTCCCGTCATATACGTCGGAAATTAATATTGTAATTCACTTCGAAATATTCTTGCTATATTAGCTAGTATTTAAAATTATAACTAGATCTAGAGATCCAGTACAAGCACCTATTTAATACTGAATACTTGATTCACTATAGGGAAAAATGAATGATCCAACCTATTGTTCCAAGTTACAGTATTAAAAGCGCTATAAACATTCACAACGAAGCGTGTTCACATATCGCCGTCTTGTTAACAAATTTTCTTTGCCATTATTGCTCAGAATTTTATGACATTACGTGTACATGTAGCCAAAAGTTGCCTGGTTGTTTTGCTGTGATAAAAGTTAAGGATGGATGAAAAAAGTTGTTAAAATCCACCATTTCATCTTCGAAAAGAAATCACTCTTGTGTTTTAGCACTTTTCCTGTTGTAGTTCAACTCCCCCTGAAACCAAATTTTTACTATAAAACGTCACAAACTGTTTATTTTTTCAACCAATTGAATCGCGTAATTTTTTTGAAAATAAGACGAATGAAATAACCTCTAGCATCCCGCATGGAGACAACACAATTTTCGTAAAACCATGAAACGTTTGTGCAAATTTTTCATCTTTCTTGCAGTCTTGAAAACAAAATTTATGAGTGCGGGTATATAGAAAAATTATCAGAGTTTATTGTGGTGTAACTTTTTATCATGTTTTATTTACGTGTGCGAAGTATTTTTCGTTTTGCCGAAGTCGTATATTCGTCAGTTGTCAGTTGAGATATATAGCTGCCAACCTTAGGTATATTCTATATATACGAACAATGCTTTTCATTGAGCGCTTGCGGTGCGCGACAAATGACAGAGGAATGGGGCGAGCTTAATATAAATTGACATTTGGAAGCATTTGGTGCATTCTACACGCCGTTTTGGGCTGCCTATGGTGTTACCAAGAAACTACTTTGAATACTTCATGTTCGGAAAATACAATGGTTTTGTCAGCAAGGCGAGGGGTTTCTGTATGCATGTATTTTCTAGTACTTTAAGTATCTTACACACAAGTTTAATTTTCCAGGGTTCACTTTGAAATTCCTGGACTTTTCAAGGAGTTTCCAGAACTAAAATAAAAATTGTTATTATTATTATTATTATTATTATTATTTGGTGTTTAATGACACATTTTTGCACAAAAGATGAATTACAATATGTTTACATTCAAAGTCAAATTTAGTTAATAGTTATTTACATGGTCATAAAATTTAAGGTAAAATAGGTTAAGAATATTTTTAATATATAAGTTAAGAATATTAAGTTAAGAATATTATTAAAATATAAATTGTTTAACCATTTAATCTAAGGTAGGTTCCTTTCTCTATTTCATGGCATTCAGTTCAGCAATTGCTCTTGGAAAGAAATTGTTTTTAAAACGTTCAGTTCTGCACTTATATATATACAATGACAGATTATTTAAGTTTTTAATATAATATTGTTGAGCACAAGCTCTAGATTGTGTCACGTGTTCAGCAAGGGGACCTGCACGTTTAACAATCTTCTGTAAGGTATTTATACAAGTTTCGTTTCGCCTGTCGCTAAGTCTTGTGCAATTAGCCAATTGGAGGGCTTCATCGTATGAGTGGCCGGGAAAGATAATGCGCATAGCACGCTTTTCTACTCTTTCCAGTTCGTCAGACAGATAGCGGGGTATCGCGTAATGCCACACCTCACAACAGTATTCCAGAATCAGAACGAATAAGCGCGAACAGTATATGTTGGTAAGGTCAGCAGGAGGGATGCCACCGTGGCATAATACCCGAAGACCGTATAACCATTTGAAGGCCTTGGTGACGATTGATCGAATTTGCTCGTCCCATTTAAATTTTTAGATTGTTTTGAATAATTAAACCCAACACTTTGTGCGATTGTACCTGCGAAAACGTCATTTAATTTGAACAATTTGATTTGATTATTTTTTATTTTATTTTTATTTTTTAACGATGTATATTAGGATTTACATTCTGACTTCCCTCAGTATAAGCACTTTGTTAAGTTTGTTTTCTTGTTTTCTTTATTAGAACAATTGATCAAGTTGAGTAGGTACATAATAGAGAGTTTAAACTTAGCGTTGTACATCAAACGGCAGGCAAAGAAACATTTTACGGTATCAGGCAATATAGAGTAGCCTAAATTAACTTGCTGTTTTAAAACTGAAACACATAATTATTCTTTTGACACAAGAAAGAAAATATGAAACGTAAACATTCAACGAAAATTTTGCCAAGAACCTAGCTGCCGTTTGCCGTTCCCGGTTAGGCACCGGATTAATTTTTACTCCGAAGTAAAAAACAAGGGTGTTTACACTATGCCGCTTCGCTCTGTTGCCAGCTCATATCTTTCACTGTCGGCATGGAAACAAGTAGCCAATATACCAAAATTTATTAAAAACAAGAAGTAACACCCGTTTTCTTTGTAAAGTATAACTTTGTTTAAAAAGCTTGACCACCAGACGTTGCTTCGTTTCGCTCTAATCCAAAATTGACGAGTATTTCTTTAAATTTTGCTCTTTCGAAAGCGAAAAGTCAATGTTATTATCGTTTTCTTTATTTGTATTCGGCAGAAATGGTAAATGGTTGCAAGGCGAAACAAACAACAGCTATATTAAAGTATTGTAAAGCGAGCAAATAAAGGCGACAATGTTAAAACATACACGCCAAAACCGATTTTGTACCGAAGCGTACCGGATTAGCCTGTTTACACTGCTCCGGCACATACCGAATCCGGTATGAAAATCGCTATACGCTCCGATGCAATCCGGTATAGTGTAAATGGGGCCTTACTGAATAAACAAGCATACTTGAAGACTGCGTAGAATTAATTTTAATTAATTTTGAAGTAAGGATATATTAGCAATAAATACTTCCAAAAGGGGGGACTGCGGCTCCCACGACTCCCCCCGCCCTGGCTACGTCCCTTAATGGAATTGATGTCACTGATATGAACTAATCAGTGGATTGGTGTGATTTCATCGTCCCGGAGAATTCTCTAAAATAGCATATTTGTTTCCTCGTTCGGCACGCCAGAAGTGCGAATACGAATGAATTTTGGTTTTTAAAAATAAATTAAATAAGAATGCAAACAATGTTGTTGAAAATGCGAACATTGATGTTGAAAATGCGAACATTGACGTTGAAAATGCGAACATTGATGTTGAAAATGTGAACATGCATTGATGTTGAAAAATATACAAACATTAATGTTGAAAATGCGAACATGAATTTTGGCGGAGATTTGACGCCATATGGCGGTACCCCATGGCAACTTCAAGTGCTTCTGTGCGTGGGAGGTTCATGCCTATATAGTTACTAATAGAGGACAATATCATTAAAGTCAGCATGTGTTATATCTTGGTATATGCACTATCATTTTTACCTCAGTATGCATTATGATGCATATACGTTTCACGAATTTCCTTTCACTGTCATTGACTCAATCCTTAGTCGGAAAGCTCAAAGCAGAAGCACGATAGTGGTCCGCTTTTCATTTCGCTTTAATAGTAGCAATAACAATACTAAGCTTATGAAAAAGTCTTCAGGGGTCTGAACTGCTACTAGAGTTTCTTTCAGACATGAATTGAGGAAAAGATGCGAAATAATCCATGGGAAGGCAACGTGGAATCCAACTGATTGACCATTATACAGGTATATTAACGTGTGTTGTATCTTGCATATAGTTTGAACTATATAATATCTTGTCAGTTTTGACAGTGTTGTGACGTACATAGCTGTGCTTTGTACATTCCTATGAACCGGCCACCAGTCTATTAGCGTGTTGTAAAGTTGCCACTGTCTGCATTTTCCATATTGTTTGGACTTTGTCACTCTTAATGAATATTTCACTATATTCTGCTATATAGTTTATATTTTTACTACAGTCTACACTCATGAAAATATTTGATTGGTTATATAGTTTTGCGTGCAGAATCTGGTAACATGATGCGGGTTGATTTTAATATGTATGTCATATATTAAATCTTGAACTGTCTGAACTGTCTGTGCCAGTGTTACGGCAGTGTATAGGAGTAGTGCCAATAATAACAAACTTGCAACCACCTGAAAAGTAGGGAATAAGGGACTCGATCCAGACGAAGGCCTTCGGTCGAAACGTCGACTATTCTCCTTATATTTTTCAGGTAGTTGTACCCTACCAACGAAAGCTTGTTATATCACTTTAATATATGTCAACAAGTCACAAACACAATGGAACCACTTTGGCGGTTTTGTGCTCGAGAAATTGGAAACACGGACAAACATGGCGGAGCGTAATACAAAATACACAAATGTTTCGGCCATTCAATAGATAAATTTGCTCGCTTTCGTCATGAAACAATAGTCAAAATGGAAAATATGACACGAGAAGAGAAATTCAAAGCCATGAAGCTGCCGGAGCTCAAAGCGTACTTACAAAATCGAGGAATTAGGCCTACTGTTAACAGTTACCTCAAACCCGGGGTCCCGGACTCCTACCTATTGCTTGTGCCGTAGAAGAAATGAGTCTTCCATTGCTTTTTCATGTCAGTGAAGCCCAAGGCCAGTAAAATCTAAGCCGTCAGTTTGAGAGTTAACGATATTCAGCTGCCTGATCCTTTTAAAATGAATGTTTTAAACGATTTTAAGCATCTCATATATCACTCGTCACAATATGAACAAGCAAAATCTAGCAGCTTATAAATATCTTTTACATATCGTATGCATTTATTAGACGGAGATTAGGATTATTACTTATATTTTCCATACTACTAGTTATTGCTGATACAGGGTCTGGATGTTCTTCAGTAGGACCATTTTGTCCAACAAAATGAAGGCTATACATAACAAATTTATCGCCTCTGTGACATGTACGTATCCAGCGCTCTCGTTTTGCGCTATGGTATTTAGCCCCAGGAAAATGTAAAAAGAAGATATCAGCTCCATTACTGTTTCGTTTTAACCGATCAGGATACCGTGAGTCGCTTTTACAAGTACCCGGCAAGCGCACTTTTTAGTCGTAACCATTCTATATTGTTCTATACAGTATATTATACGCTCGGCCATGTTTGATATCTTTTTTTTTACATTTTCCTGGGGCTATAGATACCATAGCCCAAAACGAGAGCGCTGGATACGTGCATGCAACAGAGGCGATAAATTTGTCTGTACGAAGCCGAAGGATAGTTACATATGTACTATATATGTAGCCTTCATTTTGTTGGACAAAATGGTCCTACTGAAGACCATCCAGACCCTGTATCAGTAATAACTAGTACGGAAAATATAATAATCCTAATCTCCGTCTAGCATATAAAACGCAGCCTTTTTTAATGCGTACGATATGTAAAAGATATTTATAAGCTGCTAGACTTTGCTTGTCATATTCTGAGGAGTGATATATGAGATGATAAGATTAGGCTAAATATATATCAAACAAGGCGAGAATGCTTAAAATCGTTTAAAACATTCATTTTAAAAGGATCAGGCAGCTGAATATCATGAACTCTCAAACGACGGCTTAGATTTAACTGGTCTTGGCCTTGGGTTTCACTGACTTGAAAAAGCAATGGAAGACTCATTTCTTCAACGGCACAAGCAATAGCTATAGGTATAGGAGTCCGGGTTTGAGGTAACTGTTAACAGTAATTCCTCGATTTTGTAAGTACGCTTTGAGCTCCGGCAGCTTCATGGCTTTGAATTTCTCTTCTCGTGACATATTTTCCATTTTGACTATAATTGTTAGTAAAACTGCGATATTTTCTTTTTGATATATGTAGAATAAAGAATAATTGTAAACGAAAGGAAATATAAGCAAATTAAATTGCAAATCAAAAGCGAAAGTTGAACTAATTTAGACGTTCACTAATTCCGTCGAAACGTCGCGTCGAATCGAATACAACCACAAAACTGTCAATTTATCTCGAATAAACAAATCAGCAGCATTAGATTAAACGAACTCAATGCAAGGGAAATTTCACGTTTGAAACAGTCTGCACGATCTGATAAACAACGCCAACAATTACAACATTTCGGAATGAATCTTTAATTGCCGACTGATTTTTTTTGTGAAAACCTCAAACCTCACACGCATGTCCAATACTGCCGCATAAATGCGGGTCGTACGAGTTGTAAAATCCGTCATTATCAAGACCATTCTAACACAATGCTCTCCAATTGATACGGCTCGTACAGGTCGTAATTCAAATCGTACAAAAATTCAATTTTGAGCGCGTACGTGTTATATACGTAACATACAAAAGATTCTCCTCAGACTCAGTCTTAAATATTTTTACTAATTCTTCATATTGTATATGTTATTCATCTTCAGAACCATTGTCAATTACACTCATTGAAAATGAACGAAGATTAGAGACTGACTGAATTCGAATCTGTTCAGGGATAGAGAAATCATGGCACAAAATAAAGATTCAAGAACGGTGGTCTATGCAAAGAATTCCAACGTAATTGTTGGAGATAGCAACATCATAAACATTCTTCAGCCAAGGGGTAATATATTCAACTTTTAATGAAGCTATACAGTTACTGATATATATATATATATATATATATATATATATATATATATATATATATATATATATATATATATATATATATATATATATATATACAAAACGTTATGGAACTATGACTAGGTTTACTATGTAATTCTCGCCTGCACAGCGTTTTTTATTAGAGCTTTAAACTTGTATAACGAGTTAGCGTTTCTAATGTCTGCATGGTTCTAGGTTGTTAAAGTCTTTTGATGCTTGGTAGCTTGGTCTTTGTTTTTCCCTGTTTGTGTGTTCGTCTTTGGGAGGTGAAGGTCATTAATATATATATATATATATATATATATATATATATATATATATATATATATATATATATATATATATATATATATATATATATATATATATATTATATATTATATATACGTTACCACAGACTTCAACAGCGTCAACAACAGCGCGAAAGTTCTATATACATATATATATATATATAATTTCATAAAGTAATTTCCCGTTTTTAAGTACTATTTAAAAAACGAGCAGGAGTGTTTTATTAGGTTTAAAGCCACGAGCGCGCAGCGCGAGTGGCTTTAGACCTAATAAAACACGACTCGCGAGTTTTTTAAATGACTTCAAAAACGTATGCATAATAAGTCAAATCTTTATATAAAAATCTTTATATAAAAATCTTTATATAAAAATCTTTATATAAAAACCTTTATATAGTTTGCATAACAATGGTCTTTTGTTAAAGTGTTCTTTAGCTGGTAAAGACGTATGCACGTGACTAATTTCTTACTCAAGATTGGATAATTGCTTCATGAATTATTAATGAGTTTTTGAAGAATAAAGAGTGCTCAATACAAGACAATTGTAGAGCATATAATAATAATTTAATATTTTAATACAATTTTTTAATTGAATAAGTTGCTACTTTAAGTTTCATGCAACAAGCAATCATCAGGCAACATATTAATACGGTTAAGTTGTTCCAAGAACTTAACCGTATTAACTTTTTCGCGCTGTTGTTGACGCTGTTGAAGTCTGTGGTAACGTCTGATTTAATATATATATATATATGTACTATTTAAAAAACGAGCAGGAGTGTTTTATTAGGTTTAAAGCCACGAGCGCGCAGCGCGAGTGGCTTTAGACCTAATAAAACACGACCTGCGAGTTTTTTAAATGGCTTCAAAAACGTTTGCATAATAAGTCAAATCTGAATATGAAAAATCTTTGAATATGAAAAATCTTTATATAAAAATCTTTATATAAAAATCTTTATATAAAAATCTCTATATAAAAATCTTTATATAGTTTGCATAACAATGGTCTTTTGTTAAAGTGTTCTTTAGCTGGTATAAAGACGTATGCACGTGACTAATTTCTTACTCAAGATTGGATAATTGCTTCATGAATTATTAATGAGTTTTTGAAATATATATATATATATTTATATATATATATATATATATATATATATATATATATATATATATATATATATATATATATATATATATATATATATATATATACAGATATATATATATATATACAGATATATAATATATATAGATATACCTGTATATATAGTCAATCACCGTATATGAGCTGTTCTGCAATCTGATTGGTTGAATTACTCGCCGTATATCAGCTCATATACAGCGAGAAGCGAAAAACAAGATGGCGGTCCAAAAACTACATGATACATATAAATTAGTTTAAATACAAGTTTTTTTAAAGAATTAATACCGAAACAACAGCGAAAAAAACATGTTTATTGAGAATATAAATTGTTCAGAAAAGTTTGCAACGAAAGACAAATGAATTTGCAGTCAACAAGCACAAACATCTGTATTAATATATCTGAGCTTTTCTGTGAGATTTACCGGTTCTAAAACCATTTCTTTCACTTCGTCTTCGAGTTGTAAAACAATAGTATTTCAAATTTTCAAGGCCAAGCGGCTTTTGTCCGAACAAATTGTCAAGACATTGTAACAGAGGATAATTAATTATTGCTTCTTTTAATGGCTATTATAGACTATATTATAAAACAATTATACCATTCGCTCTCGTCGTATATGGCTGAAAGCCGACTCGACGCTATGCACCTTGTCGGCTATCAGCTCATATACGACACGACTATATATATATATATATATATATATATATATATATATATATATATATATATATATATATATATATATATATATATATATATATATATATTTAATAGATTTGAAGATTTGTAATCCAGGCATTTTATTAAATTATAATTTTATATATATATATATATATATATATATATATATATATATATATATATATATATATATATATATATATATATATATATATATATAAATTGTGTAATTGTACACTCTGTAATATGTTAAGATGAAAATGTTCTAGAGTGTGTATTATATAATTTCCATACCCAGCGCAAGCAGAAAGATGTTGTCTGCCGCGGCTGGGTCTTGAACCTGCGACCTTCGAATTACTAGATCGACGCTCTACCAACTGAGCTACACGGTCAGACGGATTTAAGACTGGAAATTATGAAATATATACTGAATGTCGTAAACATACTCGTTTATATTAATTCAGCATCGAACAATATACTAGTTCTGCAAGTGTTATGTTACTTGTGTAATTGTACACTCTGTAATATGTTAAGATGAAAATGTTCTAGAGTGTGTATTATATAATTTCCATACCCAGCGCAAGCAGAAAGATGTTGTCTGCCGCGGCTGGGTCTTGAACCCGCGACCTTCGAATTACTAGATCGACGCTCTACCAACTGAGCGACACGGTCAGACGGATTTAAGACTGGAAATTATGAAATATATACTGAATGTCGTAAACATACTCGTTTATATTAATTCAGCATCGAACAATATACTAGTTCTGCAAGTGTTATGTTACTTGTGTAATTGTACACTCTGTAATATGTTAAGATGAAAATGTTCTAGAGTGTGTATTATATAATTTCCATACCCAGCGCAAGCAGAAAGATGTTGTCTGCCGCGGCTGGGTCTTGAACCCGCGACCTTCGAGAGCCCGCGACCTTCGACCTTCGACTTTATAATTTCCAGTCTTAAATCCGTCTGACCGTGTAGCTCAGTTGGTAGAGCGTCGATCTAGTAATTCGAAGGTCGCGGGTTCAAGACCCAGCCGCGGCAGACAACATCTTTCTGCTTGCGTACGTGTACGTGTACGTGTACGTGTACGTGTACGTGTACGTGTACGTGTACGTGTACGTGTACGTGTAGTTGTACGTGTACGTGTACGTGTACCTGTACGTATACGTGTATCGTCCGCTTCAATCAAAATTACATGTATATTTTTTTCTAATTTTAGAAGATGATGTCGACGACGGCATGACAAAAGCCTTAAATGTACGTACTAATATATTCATATTTTGCATCTACTCCCCCACGCCCAGTCCCACCCTCTTACTTTGGCAGCCCCAATTGTGCTATATATAGGTTGTTGAATTGAAGTCATGGGGATCATATTTAAAGTATACGCTCGCTTAATATCCGTATTACGTATGCAGTGAAGTGATCAATTTTTTGAAGTTATTGCATCCTATTCTTGACGTTACATGACGTTCTTGCTCTTTCGTGCCTAGTCCCCGGCCGAGTTATATTGAGGAAACAGTACTAAATCCATGTCAGTTTGTCGGATGTAAAGATTTTTAGGAAACTGTCGTCAGCTCGAGCAATCGACGATTCTTTGTTTTTATTCGATTTTGATTCGATTTTATTTATTTCGTATTGCGCTCGCATGATTTCTTCTCAGGATTTCAGTTACGAGCTTATTTACATGCAGTATGTTGGATTTTCATGATGCAAACGATCTACAATATTTTAAATAATTCAGGTAAGGATAACTTTATTTCTTTCTGGTTATATACATGAAGGCATTTATATTTAGATCTGCTGTTTAGTGTTCGATATAGAGGTAATGCCTCTATATTGAAACAATATGATTTCATGATTCGATACAGGATTCAAAAACTCATTAATAATTCATGAAGCAATTATCCAATCTTGAGTAAGAAATTAGTCACGTGCATACGTCTTTATACCAGCTAAAGAACACTTTAACAAAAGACCATTGTTATGCTAACTATATAAATATTTTTATATAAATATTTTTATATAAAGATTTTTATATAAAGATTTTTATATAAAGATTTGACTTATTATGCAAACGTTTTTGAAGTACTATTTAAAAAACGAGCAGGAGTGTTTTATAATAAAACACGACCTGCGAGTTTTTTAAATGGCTTCAAAAACGTTTGCATAATAAGTCAAATTTTTATATAAAAATCTTTATATAGTTTGCATAACAATGGTCTTTTGTTAAAGTGTTCTTTAGCTGGTATAAAGACGTATGCACGTGACTAATTTCTTACTCAAGATTGGATATTAATTGCTTCATGAATTATTAATGAGTTTTTGAAGTACTATTTAAAAAACTCGCAGGTCGTGTTTTATTAAATAGTACGTCAAAGTTTGTGTGGCGATGTGCCAAGGCGATGCGTTTATATTATAGTGTTCATTTTAGATGTCAATGTGCTTTCAGCATGTTTTAAAAACAAACGCGGAATGTTGTGTATGCACGTCATAATAATCAGGCTTAATGTAAAGATATTCCTATAACAACCTAGACTTTCCAAAGTCCTTTGCAGACCCTTCTATGGCGCGCTTCACCGCTAGGGTCGCGCGCTCCCTCCCCCGCGCCCTCCCTCCCCCATGGCACAGAGTATACAGAGGCGGAACTCGCGGCGATTCCTTTGTTCTTTGTGTCCCCCGTGCAACGTCATTTCCACGCGCCACGCAAATTGCTCTGGCAAGTGTCATTCGTCGTGTTTTCAGTCAAAAGCATATGAAAAACACCGTTCGAAAGTAGAAAAATAAATATTTTTGCGAAGTTGCTCCACCGATCTTCATTTTGGGACTCAAATTTGAAAGATAAATGGTAAGTGGTTATTTTCATGTAAAAAGATGTACGTTTATAGACTAAATACAAATAAAAAATAGTATAATCTTTGTACCGCATGGCCATATTTTACAGTCTCGGTGTTTGTGATGTTCTGCCAAGAAGCAGATTCCCATCTCGCTAAATTAATGGCCAAACGTATTGCTTTCCTGTCTTTTACATTAATAAGAAAGCATGGTTGCTGATTTGAAACACTTCCATTGCACACTTCCATCAGGTTCCATGTAGCTTTGGGATTTGTGAGCAAAAATTAAAAGTTAAACTACCTATGTTTTTAATACTTTCTGTACGTGCAACTGTTTTAATAAGCACATTCACAAATGTATTCTCCAGCAAAGAAACGTTTCTTTACGGATTGTTAATCCGCCTGCACTGCTTATGCCTTCAAAGGTCAGAGGTCTTGAACATGCAGAATAGCAGAGACTACTGTCATTGACATCCTTTGTCACAAAATTATGATGGCATATTGGGCAGCTATGTTGGATAAGGCACTTGCTAAATAGTCTGACACATAAGTTAATGCAGACTAAGTTTTGTTCAATTTCATTTGTTTTGTAGTCGGTATCTTCAACTGCTTGGATTAGTGGAGGGCTTGTCTGATCATTTCCTGCAGATAAATCAGATTGGCTAGAGTGAAATGCAATCAAATAGGCATCAGAATCGTCAGCACAGTTGGCAGATGAAAGCGGTGTCAAAATATTATCTACAAATAATTTGCAAAATGCTCTGGTAGTAGTGAATAAAGGCCGGTTCTAGCCCAGTTTTCCAAAAATTCAATTATGACGTCATCACAGCTTCTAAAACTTTTTTTTTTTAATCCTTCCGAGAGAGCCGATAGTGTCCTATTGCCAGTGTGTTTATTTTGTCGTCCAAAATTATTCGCTTGTCGTCGTTTGCCGAAAGTGTCCTATAGAGATCCTCATATACAATAAAGTATGGGAAGAGAGGACATGTTCGAACATTACACTAAGGAGAGGGTGTACAACCAGGAGCCGAAGGCGGAACCACATCAGAAACGATGCGATGTTTGTAGAATTTGGGCTAGCCGGAAGGGTATCACCAAGGATTTCTGGTGCAAGCACATGAAACACAACCTCAAGTATTACAGATAATTTTTTAATGGATTTGAACCATCAAAAAAATTATGTCTACCCCCCTCCCTCTGATGTGTCGGACGGTTGGGTAGCCTTTGAGCTGATCACATGTTTTCCGACAGTGATTCCGCCACTTAGTATTCCGATGAGTGGGATGTATGGTGTTATGTAACTGACGAGGTTTTTTATGTCTTTTCTAAGCAGATCGTTTTCCTCCAGTTCTTTTTTCATTCCTTCAGAATCCTTAACAGCATCCAACGCTTCCATGAGTTCAGAAAACTTGGTGATGATAACGTCAGCCAGTTGGTTGTTCGTGTTTTCCAGCTGTTGCCTTTCGTAGTCTTTATATATATTTTCCAGCGTCTTTTCGGATGCCTTCTTGATATATTTTGAGGTGTACTTGATTTCACCCGCATCGACCAGCTTCAGTAGATTTTCCCTTAGATCGCTTGCGACAGGTGTTTCGGACGTCTCGGGTTCTACAGATTCGAATATGGTTTCCATTCCTTTATTTAATGTGTGGAATAATTGTTTCGTGGGTATAGGGTCGGCGTAATAGTATTTCCAGTCTGGCGTAGTCGTTGTTTTTTAGCGTATTAATGATTTCCTTCCTTTCTTCTTTTTCCGTGTTTGCAAGGTAGTCGTTCAATATGATGTCCGTATCCTTTGCGCTTGGGTTGTAGAATGTTATGAGTTTGGATATATTTTCCCTATAGGGTTTAGCAACGGATGTAAGCTGTTGGGTAATGACAATGGTCGATATTCCCATATGCCTAGCGCTAAACCCTAGTTTTACCAATTCGCTGGTTCTGTTTTTGACGGATTGACTACTAGCACAGTCGTCAAGGACGATTAGACTGTTCGTTCCTTCTGCAAACCGTGAAACGTATTCTAAGCATTGGTTCACATCATCCTGTCTACAGGGTGTGACTATAAATCCTTATCTTTATTGTATTTCCAGCTCTGATACGTTTTATTCCATTCGTATGTGGGACATATTAGGAATATGTACTCAAAGTGGTTTTTATAGTCGTTCTCCAACATTTCCAGTAGGTAGTAGGTTTTTCCACATCCGGTCATTCCAAGAATGATCATGTTGAATGGTGTTTTCAGCGGTTCCATCCTTTTATTTAATAACTAATACCCTGAAGGGTCTTTTCGCTGATGTTTATGAGTCCATCGGATAGCACAAAGATGTTACAGAGGATGTCTTCGGACATCGCGTCGGTTTCGATCTCAAGAAGAATTCCGGGGTTATCGCCTAGGATCTTTTTTCCACTTCCAACGACATGGCTGTCATCAACGGCTCTCATATCGATCACCAGTGCAAATTTGCTTTTGTAGAATTTCCTGACGCTTATGTTGTCGTTATACAGACGTTGTTGGCTATTCCGAATAGTCTTTTTGCTTCGTCGTAGAAATTTTCGTATGTTAGACCCTGGCTATATACAGCATTTGGCTTTCCCTCTATCGTGACCTTTACCTTCTCGATACTTGGGAAGACGTATTCTTCGCTGTCGGTTACTGTTCTTTTTCTGAAAAGTAGGACCACGGCCCTCATGCTTTCCCTCGGAACGTTTACGGTTTCGTTGAACCTTGTAGAACCCTTTGACCACACGGTTGTTTTCAACAGTGTTGTGTGTTCGTAGGACAGGGATCTACCGGTCTCGTATCCTTCGTTTACCCGTTTAGCTAGTTCCTCGTTCTCGATGGTTTCGTATTCCAGATGTATGTTCTTCAATGTATATCTTTCCACCTTTTCACCTGACTGTGCAACCATAATCTTGTCGGCTTTTGGAAGGGTTATCGTGTACTCGAATCCGCTCTTCATGTTGTACGGTGCATAGGGACCGTGATCGTTGAGGATTTTTCCGAGTTTCATCTTCTGTTCTTTGTATACCTTCGCCATCACCAGGTCGTAGTCACCTTCCGTTTTTGCGGTCTGATCGGCACTGTCGTCCTTTGACAATAGCTTTCTTGTGTTTTCGTTCATAATTCCGTATTCTATCATGTTTGCTCTTTTCGTGTCCATCTTCCAGAGGTCCTTGTAGACTTCGATGAGACTTTCACCATTATTTTCGTATACTATTTCACCACCCACCTTTATCATGAGCCGCTCGCATAGGAGTTTACCGAGATTATTCATAAAACAGGATTTGGTGTTTTCGTTCTTGAACTCGTACGACATACGAAATGAGTCTGGAACGATACAGGTGTTCGGTTCCAGTTTTGGAACTACAATCCGGATGTCGTTCCCGGGGTTGGATTCGTTTGGCTTGAATGTAACGAAGTTACATACTCTGTTCCCTACAATGTCGGAGGTCAGTGCCCTTTTAAAACCGGGCGTAAGTTCTTGACTTCTCTTTTCCATTCCTTTTATTATACTGACTAATTATTAAATTTTTCGAACTTTGGTTTGGGTTCGCTTTGCCTAGGGTTCGGCTCATCCTGTACTTGTGGTGGTTCTGTTGTGTGATTAGACTTGTCCGTAGGTCTAACCCTACAGTATATGCAGTAGATTCCTCCTAACGTAACTGCTGCGACTCCGACGTAAATTAGCGTATTTACCAAATCACCTTGATCGGAACTATTTTCGATGCTACGTCTTTCTTCAGCCTTCCTTGCTTTTGCTTCCCTAGATATTGCTGCCAGTCTTTTACCTGATTCTACCCTTCTTGGATCCTTTGGTTTTTGGGTATTTTCTGCTTTTGTTATTGTCGGTTCATCCATCCTTTATTTAATATACTTACTTTTTTTTAGAATTTCTAATCAAATTTAGTCAGAGCTAGTTGTAACATAACTTTAACTAGATTTTAGCATAACTTTAACTAGGTTTAGCATGTAGTTAAATTCTAGTCAGATTCTAGTCAAATTTAGTCAGAGCTAGTTGCAACATAACTTTAACTAGATTTTAGCATAACCTTAACTAGGTTTAGCATCTAGTTAAATTCTAGTCAGATTCTAGTCAGAATCGGTTGCAGCATAACCTTAAGTAGATCCAGAGTCATGTAATAAAAGATATGGATATCCCTATAACATCATTAGAAGAGAATCATCAATCAGGATCATACCCTTTGGATTGGTTAGCCTGCTTCAAGCAGGCGGAGAAGGAGTACCTGGATCACCTCGCTTTAAAAGAACCTATGAAGTTTCCAAACAGAGACTTCTGCTCTGAGGGGTATAGACATCATCTTATCTCCACAGACGGGTTTCGAACGTGTTGTTCGTGTAGGTTGGTTGTTGACAGGGTCTGCAGTCCCGGTTACGACTGTTTAAACACTACAATTATGAGACGTGAGCAGATGTATGTTGATAGAATTTTCGAATCATTTTGTACCAAAAGAAATATATCATATTAGGATCTACCGGCAAGAGAGAGGTGTTTAATAGTGGGTGACCTGTGCGAAGTTCGTGAAGCAGAAAAACCTGAAAGAAAGAGGCTTCCTAATCTTAATATTCTGACTTATCAGATATGTAAAAGACATAACATAAAGTTGAACAAGAAGCTGCTCATCATTCCAGTCGATAGAACCATACACGATCGGTGTAGAAGAGTATTCCAAACGCTGGGCTGGGAATATATCGAGTACTGTCATCAGAACAAGACAGTTGTAAAAAAGAGAACCGTGAAGGATTTGGGAATGTCAGACATCGACTTCAGATACAGAGGTTTCTGTAAGAGGATGGGAATAATATTATCAGTAGAGGATATAAGTAAGATCATGGAAGACATCAAAAAAGTGTACGACGCGGAGGAACCAAAAATGGAATCACTTCCTAACCTCGACATCCTAACTTACCAAGCATGTAAAAGACATAACATAAAGCTGAACGAGAAGCTTCTTAATATTCCAGTAAGCAGAGCTTCACACGATCGGTGTAAAAAAATATTCCAAACGCTGGGTTGGGATTACGTTAGATAATTCTAACGCCGGGATGGGTATAAGGACAGTGGGAACTAAATGTAAATACACCAGTCATCGTCCCTGTAGGCTGTGATGTATACCTAACGGTATATAGTTCTGTGACGTGGGGGACTGGTAAAAGTATGTACATCAAATAAATTTTAATGCTTAGTAAGCATTAAAATTGTAATAGTAATTTAAGGGCGATGATGATGAGAAGAATTTCAACCGTTATCGGGATGAGTAGACAGAACACCAGACTCATCCATACCAGTCTCCGCAGTATTCGGGTTCTGATCATTTATTTTAGCGTAGTTTTTTACCGTTGTGCTGACATATCCAATTTGGGTGTGAGCGTTGATAGTGAGATCACCGCGTTCTATACCGATTCCGAAACTGAACATTTTCCTTTTCCGGTGGTTTTTGTCGTACTTCACTTCATTTGTGGTCTCAGGTTTTGCGTGTAAACATCCCATTGTATTTATTCTTCTTTTTATTTTTCGCTGACTTCAGTTTTTCTTCCTTCACAGTCTTTGCTGACGGTCCCGCTTTGTCTTCCTTACACGACGTAACGTACTTGATGTTGGTTGTCTTGGATTTGACGTAACCGAGATTCAGCCCACCTTTACTGAGTTTTATATCGACGTTGACGGTTTTATCCCTTTTTAAATTTCCCTTAACTTTGTTACTGTCGCTATTCATCCTTTTATATTAATGCGAAAAGAAAATCCATCTTGAAGTGATAACCCCACCAACAAACATAGTGCCGAGAAGGTAAATCAGATTGTTTGATGCTTTCGGTAGTATGCTTACCGTGTTAGGATGTGGTATGGGGTTCTGGTCTTTGCGAGGTATAGGGTTTTTGAACTTTTGCATCCGGACTCTTTTTTACCTCCTTAGGCTTTGTGAAGTTAACGTTCGTATTACTACCAAACTTCATGTCCTTTGTTGCTAGTGTGAGTGTATTGTTGTAACCCGCTACTTTTTCCTTGAGTATAATCATATTGGATGGTATTAATATTAGTCCGGGTGATATTGCCATGTTAAGTACAGCGTTAGTATCCTTTATTGCTTTCCTCATATTGGAGATGGATACCGATATATCGTCTTGCGCAATGGTACCTTTGAAAAGTTTGTGAAATACGTCCTGAGTCTGCAGGGACTTCGCCCCCTTACCAACGATAGACCAACGTGTTTGTGCTTGCGCACCTAATACGCAGTAAACATAACTTTCGACAGATTGTTGAAGTAACTTTAGTCCCAGAGGTGTCAACCCGTCTGATTTCTTAGCTATGAATTGTGTGTAGTCCGTATCACTGTTGTTAGTGACCTTGTCTACTTCCTGATAGCTAATTCCCATTACACCACCGGTACGGTAGTACGAATACTTGTAGTTTCTAACCCTACTCTTATCCGGAAGTCTGCTATGCCAGAGACCTATTTCCATTTGTCCTCGGTGGAACTTGTTAACCCACGTTTTTTGTATGGGTATGTTTCTCTGCAGGGATTTTAGCATATCCTTCGTTACGTACTTTCTCATTTTGCTTGGATTTCTGAGGAACCTACGCATGTGGTAGTATAGGTGATACCTAGCAATACTTGTGATTACCTTTGAGGTTCCCTTGCTTTCCAGCAGAGTTCCGTACTTATCCCACACTTATACGTGATAATGTAAGCAGCTAGTATCGATGCAAAATAGGGGACGTTTATATAATCAAACTTTACCCTGGTGATATCCTTTGCGGTACCGGTCCACTTCGTGTCAAGGTCGGCGAAGTTGGATACGAAGCTGTTGTGGGAGTTGTTAATACAGTCGCAAACGTAAATTTCGAACTTTATTTATTCTGTACGGAAGTGGATCCCTGTTTTGTTTAAAGGTTTGAACGGTTCCGTAATTACCCCATATCCTCTCCCATTGGTAAAGGTACCACGTCCACTTTTTATTTCTCTTGAATGTGTTGGATTTGATGTCGTAACTTTCCGTATCCGTAATCTTGAAGAATATATCCTTGGATTCTAAAGTTCCATCTTTTGCAAATGTAACCCGAAAGTCAAATTTAGACATTTCTGCACCTGGATATTTTTTCCTAAAATCCTCTTTCATTTTCCTTATTTCGACGGGTGTTGCCGCCTTTACTTTTTCATAGTTCTGTCCGTAATAGTTACGAAAGATGTCTTCACTGGTACTCATTTTATTTAATTCATATAATAAAAATGAAGAAGTTAACGGTGTTTATCGAGGACGGAACTACCGAGTTTTTTCCGGACAAGTGTATTACGACGAACGCAGAGTCAGAATTAATCCTAAAGAACGTACGCAACCATTTACTGGGCTTATAAAAACGTACGTTTGAATGTCAACGATAATATTACCTAAGGACAAAAGAAGATTACCTTCGAAGATGGCTACTGGACCTTTGATGCAATAAAGAAAAAAACTGAAGATAGATGGAATAAAAATAGAACGTAACACACACAACAATACCTGCAGGATCTACCCGGCAACCGGGACAGACCTACATTTAAACAAATTTGCTCCACTAATAGGATTCCTAGAAACGGAGATCCTTACCCCCGGAGTGTGGGAGAGATCTCCCTATCCTATAGGTATTAATCACGGTCTTAAATATATTACCATCGACTGTGATGTTGTTAATACATCCCTAAATTCCGACGTAAACGGTAAAGGAAGCTTTACAGTGAGCACGTTACCCGTGCCATCCGACCAGCATCTGAACGGAACAACAACGTTTTTCAAGGATATCGGAAGTAGGGTTTATGTTAATAACGGTTTCCACAACAGATTCTCCTTCAGTATCAGTACGAACATTGGTGTTAAGGTTGATATGTCCGCACACCTCGAATTCTATATCACATAAATAAAATGGAAGACGGACACTTTGTTACCGAACAAGGGTTAAGGGATATCTACTACAATCCAGGTACCGGTTATCAATCCGCGGAGAAGCTCTACCGGAAAGCAAAGGAGGAGGGGCTGGACGTTAGTCGAAAAATAGTGAAGGATTGGTTGAAGACCCAGGACACCTACACAAGGTATAAACCTATCGTTAGAAAGCATAAATTTCAGAGAACATTCGTCAAGGACCTAGCGGACCAGGTGCAGATGGATCTAGTGGATATGGGAAAATACAAAAATCAGAACAAAGGATATTGCTGGATACTAACAGCTGTAGAGATTCTGAGCCGGTACGGATTTGCTATTCCCGTCTACAGAAAGGATACGAAAAACATGACGAAGGCTGTGAGCTTATTACTGGAGGAATTTAGGAAAAGGTTTGGGAAATACCCGGAAGTTGCTCAGTTTGACGAGGGAAAGGTATTCTACAATGTTGGTGTTAGGAACCTTTTACAAAAACACGACGTCCGCTATTTTTCCACAAACTCTGACAGAAAGGCAGCTATCGTTGAAAGATTTAACAGAACCTTGAAGGCAATGATGTGGAAGTATTTCTACAGCAAAGGGACTTACAATTGGGTCGACACCATAGGTGAGCTTACGAATAACTACAATCATACCAAACACAGCAGTATACTAATGAGACCTGCTGAGGTAAGCAAGTCGAACAAGGACCAGGTATGGATTACGCTATACGGTCACGGATTAGGAGAATTTCCGTTACCTAAGTTTAGGGTTGATGATACGGTCCGGATAACGAAGTATAAGAACATCTTTACCAAGGGATACGAAGCAAACTTTACGGAAGAGATATTCAGGGTTGTAAAAGTATTCAGAGGAGATCCTAACATGTATGAAATAGAAAGTCACGACGGAGAACCAATCATCGGAAAGTTTTACGAAGAGGAACTATCTGCTGTGGACAAAAAGGACGATGTGTAAAGGGTGGAGAAAATTCTGAGAAGAAGGAAGGGTATGGTACTGGTCAAGTGGTTAGGATACGACAGTAAGCATAATTCCTGGATTCCCGAAGAAAATATTAAGGATATAAAATAAATGGCTGACATCGAACTAGAAGAAACAAACCGCGTCGATGACCGCGAAGTCGTAGAAGCTGAAACGGCAGAGGAAGAAACAAGTTTCATTGACGACGACGGGAGACGGGATGAAAGTATATTAATTCCCATCGGATTCAATCCGGACGTTGATGGATCAAGACCCAGCGGTTCCACACCAAACATCGGGCGGGATGCTGGGGTAATGAAACGGGCCTATACGCTGGATAAAAAGGATTTCCTCAAAAGGGAACTTGGAGTAAATATCAATAAGGGAGACGGTCCATCTTCCACCATCATCTTTGACAAAATGAAGCTAACCGTAAATAAGGCCGGAACAAAAATTAACGGTGCTACATTCAAAGATGTCAAGATCATTATCTCAAAAAATGGGAATATAATATACTCCGCGGATAAGAACAAGGAATCCGTCGTAAATGAATACAAAGAACTGATCAGGAAAGCTAAAATAGAGCATTCAAAAACACCTGCAGCCCTAGTGGAGGAACAACTCGAACGACGGGACCTAGATGCTCCTCAGGAACTTGTGGATAACGTTCTGGGAAATATCGTTGAAAGGATGGACGACGAACTGTCCAATCAAAGCGAAGCTATCGGTAATAGTACAGTTATAACGGAAAATGAACTAAGGGAACTGAGAGGTATCCTGAACGTAAAAGGAAACTCAGGTAAGCAGAAAATTAAGTATTTTGAGGTAGAAAAAAATCACTGGAAAGAACTGGCAGAAACCGAACGGACTGCAGGACGTGAACAGAAGGCTCTCCTGTACGAAGCAATGGCAGACATGGCAGAATTGAAAGCGGATGAAATAAGGTTAAGATCGAACGAGCGACCAAAGGGACCGAAAGCCATATCCATCGTGGAAGAGGAGGTAGAAATAAACGATCTTACAAGGTTCGAAAGATTTAGGAAATGGGCAAAAGAAAATATAGCCGGAATATCAGCCGTAGCAATATCCGTAGCTGGTATCATCACCACGATTGTTATGGGAGCTAGAAGCGCAGCAAAAAAGGGAGCAAGAGCAACAAGCAAGTTCGAAAAGCAATGGCAAACCTAGCCGGGAAGGTTGGACCCGTACTAGCATCCGTGCTAAACCTCGTTGCCAAAGTTCTGTCGTGGGGAGCAAAGGGCATTGCGTTCCTGTCGAAGAATCTTTGGATTTTAGCTCTGGCATTAACCTACTTCTTGTACAATGAATACAGAAAAAGGAAAAAAAAAAAATAAGAACACATATAATAAAACATGGGAGATAGAAAGGACTTTATGAAGGACATTAATATTTTAGTTATATTTGCTCGGACAGGGAAAACTGGGAACGAGGGAAAAGGGCGCGAAAATAGGTGTAGGACACGGGATTTTAGAGATAGAGTATATACATGTTATGAGTTTATATTATGCGAATTATACTATAAGAAGTAAAACTATCAAAAGTTAATGAAAGTGAGAAGCAAATAACATGGTGTCAGGAGTTTAAAAGAAGCCAGCTCACATTATTGAAAATGACAGAAGAAGCGAACGGTAGCGAAGCAGAAAACACGCCGAACACAGTCTCGGCATGTCAACCATTATTGCCAGCGGGCTTGGCCATGCCTAAGCCATTAAAAACTGAAGGAAACCTTGCCTCAAACTGGAAGAAATTCAAGCGATCTTGGGATAACTATGCTATAGTGGCAAGACTTAACCGATTTGAAGATGAATTAAAAACAGCAACGTTCCTTTCGTGCATCGGCGAGGACGCAATGGAAATTTTTGAGGGCTTAGATTTTGCCTCGGAAGAAGACCGCACAAAATTTGACATTGTTGTAACCAAATTTAAAGAGTTATGCTTAGGTGAAACAAACGAAACCTATGAGAGATTCGTTTTCAACAGCAGACAAAAGAATGAAAACGAAACAGTCGACCAATACGTAACAGCACTGCGAACCTTGGCACAATCTTGTAATTTCTGTAATTGTTTACGAGATTCTTTGATACGCGATCGCCTGGTCATAGGAATCAACGATAATGCAACTCAAAAAAAGCTATTGCAAGATCGAAAACTCACCTTGACAAAAGCCATCGACATCTGTCGCAGTAGCGAGACCACGAAGAAACAAGTCAAGAAAATCCAGGAGAACAGCGAAGCAAATGAGGGCGAAATCAACGCCATTGTAAACAACAAAACCGAAACCGGAAGCACAGGAACCAGAAGACGCAATGAAGACGAAGAAGACGTATCGGACTTGATAGGCGTGACGGGGGGCGTGACAACAAAATTAAATGCAAATATTGTGGAACAGTGCACCAACGAAAAAAGGAATTATGTCCAGCATTTGGAAGCCGCTGCCGGAATTGTGGTCGCGAAAATCACTTCGCTAAAGTTTGTATGCAGAAAGGAAGATATTCCCGCCAAAAGCCACTTCACGCAGTAACTGAAAACGACTCAAGTGATTCAGGCGACTCGCTTATGACTGTCGAACTAGACCCCACCGAGAATGATACCATCAATACAATACACCAACCGAACATTTACAAATCACGGATTTTTGCTACCATGAAAATAAAAGGGGGGAACACAACCAAATTTCAAATCGATACAGGGGCAACCTGCAATGTCCTAAAAAAGAGTGAATTAAAAGGCACTAAATATGAACGGCGCATCAAACCTACGGCACATGTTCTAAAGATGTACAACAACTCATCACTCACACCCCTTGGAAAGTGCAAAATACAAGTACAAGACACAATTACAAAGCAAAAGTTCAAAGTACCATTTACTGTTGTTGATGACCAGAATGCAAAAAGTAACCTTCTTGGCTGCCGCACCGTGCAACAAATGAATTTGATTCAAATTGCGAGCCCAATTCATGTCGATCAAATTAATGAAGACCTGACTCGGCCTGATCAAATGGGACTGACAATGCAAAACGTCAAAGACATATACCAAGATGTTTTTGAAGGTCTTGGCACCTTAGGTCCAGCACTGCATCTTGAAGTTGATCCTGAAATGTCGCCTGTCCAACTCCCACCAAGAAAAATCCCAGAGTTGCTAAAGCAACCGTTGCGAGAACATTTGGACGAACTTGTCAAGCTTGAGGTCATAGAACGAGTAGACTATCCAACAGACTGGGTCAGCGCAATTGTTGTTGCACCAAAACGATTTAAATGGCAACGGATGCCTTTCGGGATCTCTCCTGCAGGAGAGATTTTCCAGCAACGACTAGACCAGGCAATTGATGACTTGGATGGTGTACGGACTGTTGCTGATGACATTTTAGTAATAGGAAATGGAGAGACGATGCAGGAAGCTGTAGCCGACCATGACAGAAAGCTTAAGGAACTATTCGACCGCTGCAGAGCTAAACATATCAAGCTTAACCCAAACAAGATTGAGTTGAAAAAGACCTCAATGCCATACATTGGCCACATTCTTACCTCTGACGGTGTCCAAGCGGATCCTGCTAAAGTACAAGCCATACTAGAAATGAAGCAACCCACAGACGTGGCTGGAGTCAGAAGAATCCTCGGAACAGTTAATTATCGTGCCAAGTTCCTTCCCCACCTCTCACAAGTATCTGAACCACTACGACAACTTACAAAAAGGAATCAGCCTTTCGATTGGGACAAATCGCATGACGCCGCTTTCACCCAAATAAAGAAATTGATCACAGAACCGCCAGTCCTCAAGTACTACGAGTCGACCAAACCCCTGATAATACAGTGTGACGCTAGCGACCACGGACTGGGGGCCGCACTCATTCAAGAGGGAAAGCCTGTCGCATTTGCCAGCCGAGCATTGACGCACGCGGAGAAACAATACGCTCAGATAGAAAAGGAACTGTTAGCTATAGTTTATGGAACCGAGCGTTTTCACCAGTATACATATGGCGACCAGTCACAGTAGAATCAGACCACAAGCCGCTCGAAGTCATTCATCAGAAACCTCTGTCAGCAGCACCTAGACGTCTTCAAAAGATGATGATGAGATTACACCAATATGACTTAACCATCGTTTATAAGAAAGGGTCAGAGATGCTGCTAGCTGACACACTCAGTCGTCACCATTTAGACAACTCCACCGACGAAGCACGCAGCGTAGACAGCGATCTCGACCAAGTGGACAGTTTCGAAGAAATCAACGAAATACTAAATTGTGAAACAAATGCAACAACCATATTCCAAGGCCACACAACGAAAGATCAAGACCTACAGCAAGTCAAATCATTCATCCAGTCAGGATGGCCCGAAAGCTCCAAGGATCTATCTCCAACAATCACCCCGTACTTCCATCTACGAGACGAACTAACAACACAAGAGGGCCTCGTGTTTAGGGGAGACCGCGTCGTTATCCCAAAATCACTACGAAAGCAAGTACTGAATGAATTGCATGCAGCACACCAAGGGATCGCATCGACAAGTCGGCGAGCCAGAGAAACCGTCTACTGGCCACACCTGAACCAAGAATTGAAAGACCACATCTCACATTGCATCACCTGTGACACATTCAATTCCAAGAAGCCGAAAGAACCTCTCATCCCGCATGAAATACCAAAGAGAGCATGGGCAAAAATCGGTTGTGATATCTTTGAATTTGAAAAGAAATCGTATTTAGTAACAGTGGACTACTACTCGAACTTCTTCGAAGTTGACCGCCTTGAAAAATTGACATCACTGGCAGTCATAAAGAAACTAAAGCCCCATTTCGCCAGGTTTGGTATTCCAAATACTCTCGTGACAGACAACGGCCCACAATTCATCAGTGATGACTTTCGAGACTTCTCTATGAAGTACCAATTTGAGCATATAACGACCAGTCCCTATCACCACCAATCCAACGGCAAAGCCGAATCTGCCGTCAAGCAAGCCAAACGAATAATTCGAACATGCAAATCATCAAACGATGACATTTACCTTGCCCTTCTTGCCCACCGAAACACCCCCCAAACAACCCATGAAACAAGCCCCGCACAACGACTGTTTAACCGCCGTACAAAGACTCCCTTGCCCGTCTCGGAGAAGTTGCTCCAACCGAAGATAAATTCGCAAGCAAACAAACGCATTCAACAAAGACAACAGCTCCAAAAGAAATACCACGATCGTGGCGCAAAAGAGCTCAGCCCGTTGCGGAAAGGAGAAGTGGTGGAGACTACAGCCAACCCGAATCGGCGAAAAGAAATGGAAGAGAGGGATAGTCGTACGCAAAGCCGGGATAAGATCATATGAAGTCCAATGCAAAGGGTATACCTATACTAGAAACAGAAAATTCATCCGACGATCAAGGTTACCTGCAGAATTCGGTAGTGACAACGCAGATGAAGAGATGTCAGACATGTCCGAAGCGGAAGAGAACGTTTCTGTACCTACTGACAATGATCTGCCCCAAGAAAACCCTCAACCAGCACACTTAGAACGCAATGAAACAAGTACCGAAACAAGTTCTACAAGCAAAACCCGTAGTGGACGGTTAGTTAAAAAAACCTGACAGGCTAGGTATATAGACACATAAGGGAACGCCGTATATACGGTATATTTGTAAAGAAAAAACTTTCAGAGAAGAGGAGATGTTGGACATTTACTGTTGACATTAATATTTTAGTTATATTTGCTCGGACAGGGAAAACTGGGAACGAGGGAAAAGGGCGCGAAAATAGGTGTAGGACACGGGATTTTAGAGATAGAGTATATACATGTTATGAGTTTATATTATGCGAATTATACTATAAGAAATAAAACTATCAAAAGTTAATGAAAGTGAGAAGCAAATAACATATACATACCATACTTAGACGCTAATAACTTATATGGATGGGCAATGAGTCAGCCATTGCCAGTCAGAAACTTCAAATGGATGACAGAGGCTGAACTAAGCAACTGGGAAAACATCTCATGCATACTGGAAGTGGATTTGGAATATCCGGAAAATCTACATGACATCCACAACGAATATCCGCTCGCGCCGGAAAGCATGGTAGTAAATAAAGTTAAAAAATTAATTCCAAATTTAAACGATAAGAAAAATTATGTAATACATCATAGAAACTTAGAATTATACTTGGAACTAGGATTAAGATTAACAAAAATACATCGTGGGGTAAAGTTTGAAGAAAGTCCATGGTTAGCAAAATATATACAACTTAACACAAATCTTAGAACAAAAGGTACAACAGATTTTGAAAAGAACTTCTTTAAGCTAATGAACAACTCAGTATTTGGAAAGACCATGGAGAACGTTCGGAACAGAGTAAACGTTAAGCTAGTAACCACAGAAACACAACTGAACTCGCTCGCGAAAAAGTCATACTTCAAAGGTGTAAACATCTTCACAGAAAACTTAATCGCTGTTCACATGGAAAAAACCACTGTCAAACTTGTAAAACCTATATATCTAGGAATGAGCATCTTAGACCTAAGCAAAACACTCATGTATAACTTCCACTATAACTACATCAAACCAAAATACGGTAATAATGCAAACTTACTCTTCACAGACACAGACAGTCTGTGCTATGAGATAGAGGCGGAAGATTTTTACAAGGACATCACACCGGATGTTGAAAAATGGTTTGATACAAGCAACTACGACAAAGACCACAGCAGTGGAATACCGGTCGGAAAGAACAAAAAAGTTGTAGGCATGATGAAAGATGAATGTGGAGGAGAACAAATCTCAGAGTTCGTTGGACTCCGCAGTAAGCTGTACGCCTATAAAATGGATGAAGGAGAAGAGGAAAAGAAATGTAAAGGTGTGAAGAAGTGCGTAGTCAAAAATGAAATAGTATTCGAGGATTATAAAAATTGTCTATTTAGCGGTAAGGAAATGTATAGAAAAATGAATACATTCCGAAGTCGGCGGCATGACATTTACACGGAAAGAATAAACAAAACGGCACTTTCGGCAAACGACGACAAACGAATAATTTTGGACGACAAAATAAACACACTGGCAATAGGACACTATCGGCTCTCTCGGAAGGATAAAGAAAAAGTTTTAGAAGCTGTGATGACGTCATAATTGAATTTTTGGAAAACTGGGCTAGAACCGGCCTTTATTCACTACTTCTGGTGAACTGGATGGGACTAATGGGTTGTCACAATTTTCCCCCTGCTGCCTAATGAGGCCAAAGAAGTTCTCCAGAGGATCTTGGTTGAGACTTCTTGTCATGAGAAACTCCAAGGAATGATGTTGGTTAAGGTCTTGTAATATGTAAATACTACAGTATAATTAGGCTACTACTGACAGTGTAAATACTACAGTGAAATGTAAATACTACAGAGTAATTGGGGTTTAAAAATACAAAGTTTATTTTAATAAATGTTGTTTATTTTATTTCACATTTATATACATTTAAGAACTTAAATTATTCAAAAACTAAATAAATATGTGTTCAATGTCAATGAATATTGCTATATCTAAATTTTTTATTCCAAAATAGGCAATAACTGTTTCCTTTATAGTTGACCCCACATGCTGTCATGGAAATTAATACTAAATAAAAAAAGTAGCCAATGATCCATGTTTCCTCCTACAGTCTTTGCTTTATATAAAAAGTTACATACTATGAATAATTGCATTGTTCCTTTCATTGATAAAGAGTTTCCCATTAAAAGAGAAAGTATTCCCAATTAATCCTTTCCCTGTTAAAGTGTGCTCTCCCCTTGACGAGTAAAATCGTCTGGCGTTAGACAGAGTAAAATAATAAAGTAGGGTGCATCAGGGCACAATGCAACTGAATAGGTTAACTGGATCGTCTGGTGTTAGACAATAGACAGAGTAAAATAATGAAGTAGGGCACAACGTGACTCAATGGGTAAAATTGTAAAATTAAAGTAAATTAAAGTAAGTAAAATTGTTTAGCTTTACTGCAGTACATCTTCCAAGGGGGGAGGGGGCTGGATTTGGGGAGCAGGCCTACTACTTTTAGTTACATGGGGGGGGTTGCTTTTTTGAACCCTCAATTACAGTAAACTATTACAGTAATCTGAAGGCCTGTTTATATGGTCTCTGGGTACTAGGGAAATCCTATCCCCCCGAGCCACCCTGGCAAGGCAAAATTATATTATCCTATTATAGCAACTATCATATCCTATTATAGCAACTGCCATGCAAGTGTTTGCATGGAAAGTTTTGAAACTGTCTTGCCTAGTGGGATGATCCAGGTAGTAGAGTCACTCCCTCAGGGGGTACAGCACCTCTATTACTCGAGATGAGTTATATAAACATTGCCTGAGGCTACCGGTAAATTTGATAGGCATTCCAATAAGGGAGCAGTCATTATTAATGCCAGGGGGGGGCCCGGAAGATATTTCTAAACTCATGGTAAATTTTTCATGGCCCCTCATTCCTTCAAAATATTTTTTTCATGGCCCCCCCCCCTTTAAATATAATAAATTTTCATAGCCTCCCCCCCCCTCCCGTGATTGAACTTGCATTCCTAACATATACTAAGACCACAGGCGGCCCAATCTCGCAAGCGACGTCTTGGGCTACTTGTGGTGCTTGATTTTCGATGGCTGGGGGGAGCGGGAAATCAAAACAACAAGTCCAATATGGCGGGGAAATTTATCTTTATCTTGTATAAAAACCACATGGACGAATTCAATTGAACTAAATTTTGGCACAAGAATGAGTTTAAAAAACATAGTATGACAAAAAGAGCCTGTGGAGAATACCTGGAAACAGTTTTAAGAAATAATCTCGACGAGATGCAGCGAAACGTGACTATGTAAGTCTGTATAAATACAATTTATAAAGATTTTCTTAATAATTTCATATGTTATTTGAGTTTGAATCATTTGTCCATATAGTTTAAATTATGTGCCTTTATGAGTTTATGATCATTTCCCAAGTTTTTTTATGCCAAATTGCTTACAAAAGAATTAGGAATGAAGTTGAATTTTATTGAATTTCATCATGCTATGCATAAAATAAATAATCACTCGGGCAAGTTGTGCAATTAACACTGGCAATTAATTAACAGCTTGTGCAATTTTGGCGCATTTTTCAAATATTACTCGTAGTGTTAATATAATTAATTGCACTCCTTCCTGTGTGATTACCTATTCTTATATTGCATTGACATTTATATTACAGTGAACTATAATGCTAATGTTTTATGATTATTGTACATTAGTATAGTTACATAGGTGATTATTGAAAATTCTCCACGCTGATTGGTTACCGTTGAGGTGATTATTACGCGATAATCACCTAAGCGATTTTCAAAATGGCGGCCGAAGCCAGCTCGTCAATCGGAAAGACCTTAAAGAAATGCGTAATTTTAAATCCTTTCAAACAATCACCCATGAAATTGATCCTGAACACTATTCACCTTCGGCGGGCTCGGTGATTTCATCACGTGAATTTGTAAAACACTGACTCTTGTTCCCCGGTTTTATTCTCACTGATAATCTCCAAATTCTCGCCCTTCTCGGGCGGCGGGAATACCTGTTAATTTTATTTTCGGTGCCCCTCTCCCCACTTCTTTTCTCTCTTTGATATTTTGGTAGCTCCCCTAATCATATTATATGAAAAATTTTTGGTGCCCCCCCCCCCCCAAATATCTTCCGCCCTCCTCCGGCATTAATAATGACTGCTCCCTAACTAATAAGATCAAATAGTGTCAGGTTTTCCCCAATCAGGTGAACAAATTTGAACAAATTAACCATAGTTGTAAGATTCTGCATCTGATTGATAGAAATGAATAATGTAGTTCAACAGGAATGATTGGCAATCTAGAAAAATAAACAAAATAAATAAACAGATTAGATTATTAAACATATATGTACAGTGACTTGGCATGTCTGAGAAATTGACCTTTGAGAGGTCTCTGAAAAAAGGTTGTCATTGCACAATAACCAATGCACTAATCTAGGGGAATCACTATAAAGTATAATTTGGCCAATCCCCCAACACTGGGTCAACATATAAGTTAAATATATGAGTACTAGGGTACTGTGGCTCCATGTCCTTGACTCCATCAGTCCATGTTGAATGTTGATGTTCATTTTCGTATCTGAATGTTGTTTATGCAATGTTTAAATTAACGACAACCCTTTGATACAACATTGCACTTGACAAAAATATATTGATAATTTGATATATAGAGAAAAAAAACTCACATATAAAGTTGCCAAGTTCCAGCTGGAGTTCAGGTCTACAGAATCGAATCTTCAGATTGCCAGAAATTCTCACTCCTTCGGGTGTCTTTTCTCATTTTCGCCGTTAAAAATGGTATTCGTTCAATTCCCTTTTGCTAAGAAGACGCAGTGTGCCATTTATTTGCAACATTCGTGCACAAAATGAAGATTGATCGGTTACTGCGCTTAATTAAAATCGCCGTTTTACTGCCAAAATTTTGCATTTCCCTATCTTTTTCCTGATAAAAAATGTGCATGACACTTGCCAGAGGGCCGCGCATGCGCATTAAAAAAGTGGGGACATGATTTGCCTCGAGTTCCGCCTCTGTATATCCTTACTCTGTGCCCATGGTCGACTTGTGGTAAGTCTAATAACAACACAGAGTGGATTGTTATCAGTCTGCATATGTTAACTTACCAGTATGCAGTTACCTGCAATGACATGTCAACCGATCTTTCTACAAAGTATGTCGGTCTGTAAAAATATATCTCTGAGATCTGTCCATTGTTAGCATTATATGTAATAATCCTACCGGCCTACATTGATATATTCACCTGCTCACAATTTCTTTCTACAACTCTTAAGCCACGTTTACACGCTACGATTAATCGTGTACGATTCGTATTCTGGCGTATTAAAATGAGTGCTGGCGCCGTAATTCATTGCCGTTTCGTTAAAAAAGCTTAACTTTGGTATCCGTTCTTCTGAAACTCGTCATGATTGTTTTATTTATATGTATAGGAAAGCCTTGTCTATAAATGGGCAACTTGCATGTTAGACTAAATTTTAATCTAAGCAGAGAAAAGGGGATAAAACACAACAGCTAAAAAGAACATACTGAAATTAACAAAAGTGCAAAACTTGGTTGCGAAATGTTGTAAAGCTTAGAAAATATAGCCTTGCAAAGTTTGCAAATTTTCAGTATATTTGTATTACGAGCGGAAATTGTTACCATTTTCGGCTCAAAAATGGTAACAATTTCCGCAAGTAATACAAATATACTGAAAATATGCAAACTTTGCAAGGCTATATTTTCCAAGCTTTACAACATTTTGCAACCAAATTTTGCACTTTTACTAATTTTAATAAGTTCTTAACGGGAATTTACTTTTTTTGTGCCTAGATCGGCTAGATAAAAAATTTGTCTAACATGCAAGTTGTCTATTGTTGATTTCAAACTCAAATCTACTTGAGACCTACCTAAAATTATTTTGAGACGCTTTCAAGCAAAATTAAGATCACTTAGGTTTTACTTGGACCATACTAGGTTTTACTTGGACCATACTTAAAATTATTTTGAGACACTCTTGAGCAAAATTGAGGACCATTAAAATTATTTTGAGACGCTTTTAATTAATTATTAAGCAAAATTAAGAGTATTCGTCCCCTACAGCGTACACTGGTTTAAGGGAAAGCCGGATCTCCTTCCATTTTCATCAAAAATTCCGGATTTTTCGCTTTCTTAACCATCTTGCCAGGTCTCTACCTGGCGTGGGTGTAAGCGAAGCGTGGAAATGAGGGTGTGTATATTTAAATTTTACTAAGTAAAATTAAACATGTCATGATCAGAAGAGAACCCGAGTACGGTCACAAATCCGGTGAAAACTCACGTCAAGGATCCGAAAAAAGTGGAGGCAGGACGCAGGCTTGCTAAGATCAGTCAGGAGGCAAAAGCCAGGAAGCGCGCACAACTTGAAGCAATTAAGGAATAAATGTGAAGGGTTGGCGATTACCCCGGAGAGAGTTGGTATGGTGGTAGGTATTACTGTAGGACTTGGATCCCTCTACGTCATGTGGTGTAATCGTCGGGAAAAGAGCGAAAAGCTGGAGGAAAGCAAATCCACAGAAAAACCGCAACCCTCACCAAAACCGCAGGGTGGTCAGACCTGTTTGACTGAAACCGATCCGAATATAAAAGTTTTAGTTATAATAAAACACAATGACCGACACAAAGAAGGAAGTGATCAACGAACTGTACGATGCCACACTACTGACGACCGGGGTCGTCGGAGTGTCCTACCTTGCTAGAAAGGTTGCTGGAAAAAGTCTCGGTGCACCGATGACCTTGGAAGGAGCGGCGAAGTTGGCTGTTGCCGTAGCCGGAAGTGCATTTGCCATAGGATATCTGAAAGATAAGCGTTACATTCCGACCAGTATTGACAAGTAAAAACGGATGACGTCAGGTAAAATAAAAAATGACATCCGTTGTTGTAGGAGGACTTTTTAATGCCGTGACCTTTGCCGGAGCTGGATTTCTTTTCTCGAAGTTAAATGGACAAGGGTACAAGGAAGAAGTGAAAAGACATAAGCAAGCATTAGAAAAACTTGCGAAAGCAAAAGAAAAATTTTATGAATCCGAAGTAAAGCGTAGGAACGACGAAGTCCGACGTCGAGCCGAGATCCTGGATGTTAACAAGGACATTGAGGAAGCAAACAGAGCGCTGGAAGATTTAAGAAATTTTACGAGACTCATGGACGACTCAGCATCACAACGGAGACCAAAATTGGAAGATTATTATCAGCCGTCAGACGAAATGAAAACGTATGCGATGATGACGATGGCTGTTTTGGGAGTTGGTAGTGCCTACGGACTGACACGGATATTTTAAATCTTACGAAAAGATTTAAAACTACTTTTTACTGTAAGATTATCAGATAGCACAATAGTTCCGTATTTCCCGTCCTATCGGTAACGGTTCCGGATGCATCCACGTCACTAAACTTTAAACTCATAACCTGAATGGTTATACCTCCGGATCCATAATACTGAGTTATGAAATACATGAAAGTAGCACGGATTAGACCATTTCTATTTTTCATGTGGCGAACAATATTTCCGGCAGAATTAGCGGAAAAACTAAGCGGTCCACCCATGGTTGGAACTGTGTTAGATCCATCAGTCATGGCAAATCCTATAAATTTCGTATTGTCCACGTCGGATATGGAAATCTCATCCGTCTTATAGCTGTTCGGTGGATAGGCAATGGAATTCGAAAATCTGTACCAGGCATACTGACCCCCTATGCTATGAAGTTTTGTGATTTAATTTTTATTCACAGCCACTTCCGCGGCGGTGGTGATTTGGTTTTTGTCCATCTGGTTTATTTTCTTTTCCAGACGTTCCAGCATAGGTTTTGTTTCGTTAAAATAATCGTATCCGAATAAGATGCTCATTGTTCTTTTATTTAACGTCGAAGTACAAAATACGCAAGTCCGAAGGATGTTACTGCTATCATACCATATCTGACTGTCGGACTTCTGTCTTAGAGCTGGTTTATTCCCTACCAGCGTTTGAAGATCTTCCGCGGTGGGAATTGGTGTGATGTTGTGATTGGGATTTGGACTTAGATCGATACTATTCGTAAAGTGTTTGACAGGTTTTGTTCCGGTGTGATTAACTTTTTCATTTTTCCGAACGTCATCCCATTTCTAGCCACTGTCAGGACCACTGATCTGTACTAAGACTGGATAACGCATCTATAGTATACAAAAGTGAAGCCGGAAGTCACCGGCCGCCACCCGATTCAAGGGTCCCACTTTTGTATAGATTTGTATTACAGATGGTAGTTTTTCGCGTTTTTTGCCTTGGCCACGTTTCTGACCGGGCCAGTTTTACAATCACAAAGATAGAAGCATACAAGAAGAATTTTGAGCAAAAAATTTGGAGTATTATGGCTTTATAACGCTGCGAAACGGGATTTATAATAATAATAATAATAATAATAATAATAATAATAATAATAATAATAATAATAATAATAATGGAAACTTTATTTTGACATTTTATGTATATACAATTATAAATCTCACTAATTAAGGTAATTTATAATTGACTACTTGAACTATTAATTATTGATAAAACTATATTACAGGTATAAAACTAAGAGAAAGCTCATTCTTAAATGTTCATCAACTCCGGGTCGGTCCAATTCTTGTTCCTACAACAAAATATATAGTACGTTGTTCTGATGGCGATGGACATTATTTTCTTAACACAAAAGTTCTGATGTTTTTTATCAAGACCAACTTCGTTCAACATTTTCATAAACGTGCTACATTCTTTTGAGAAAACACCTAAGGCACTAATAGACAAATTAATAAATTTGACAGTTTTGAAATGGTCTTTCTGCTGCGTAATTAGATCCTTTTATCTTTCCCTTTTGCGATCAACGTTGTTTTGGAGATTGGATTCATATCCGACAGAGAGTTCGAGTATGTACAGACAATCATTTGAAATCGAAAGAAGCAGATCTGGGCGATAAGTGTCACCGGTTATTATTGATGGGCTCTTGTATCCAGGAAGATCAACAAATAGCGTGGAGTTGCGTTCAGGTTGGAATATTTTTGCGACAAAATTGAGAATGGAGTCATGTCTCCAAGTAAATCGTGGAAGGTATGACTGGCATCCCGCGACCACATGCAGAAGGGTTTCAGGGTTCAGGCAGAGGGAACAATCCGAGTTTGACATTATTCCCCATTTTGTGAGGTTTTTGCGTGTGGGAAGAGTGTTGTTGATGTAACGGATGGTGAAGTTATAGATGCTTTTTGGCAAGCTGGATTGAGATTTGGACCATAGGTTGTTTAGTGTAGACAACGAGAACTTGGTGGTGTTAGAGAAAAAGGAGCCTTGGAGAAGCAGATGATTTTGAAGCTTGTCTTCTTGTGCAGATTTGAAACTTTTAAGAACTTCCTTTGTTGAGGTGTAGACGTCGTACTGTATGTTAGTATTGTCGCAAGTTGATTTCCATAAATTTCTTATACAATCATTTGGAGAGGTTTTTAAGGCTTTACGGGAGACTGTTTGGCACTGAGTGAACTTGATGGATGGAGGGTATATATTTAGTCCAAATTTATTACTTGTGAGAAAGACATTACTTAAAGTTCCAGATACGGGTATTTCAAGCCATTTCCGTACGAATTTGTTAACTACTGAGTCCAAGTAAACGTAAATAGAAAGCATGTAAATTGTCAGCGCTATAAAAACACGTCTGACCGCCATCACCTTCAGACTTTGTTTATCAACACGAGCTCGTTTCGCTACTTTCATACAAAATCAACTCAAAATATCCAAGAATTACTGTTACTGGACGAATATTCTCGGGAAATTTGAAGAAATGAAGCAGCTACATTGTGAACGAAAGCGTACTGAGGTTAGTTTTAAAATACCTTGAGGCTACTAATATGATTATGAAAATTAAGGAACGTTCCATCGACTTTGTCGAGAAGTTTTATATGTTTTAAAGTAGGAAGACAAGTGATAATCAAATATTTTTTAATCCAAATTAACAATGACTCAATATAATGTTATTTTAATTCATATAATTATAAAAGTAGCCTCAAGGTATTTTAAAACTAACCTCCGTACGCTTTCGTTCACAATGTAGCTGCTTCATTTCTTCACATTTCCTGAGAATATTCGTCCAGTAACAGTAATTCTTGTATATTTTGAGTTGATTTTGTATGAAAGTAGCGAAACGAGCTCGTGTTGATAAACAAGGTCTGAGGTTCTCCACTCCTTCAGAGTTGTAAATCCCGTTTCGCGGCGTTATAAAGCCATAATACTCCAAATTTTTTGCCCAAAATTCTTCTTGTATGCTTCTATCTTTGTGATTGTAAAACTGGCCCGGTCGGAAACGTAGCCAAGGCAAAAAACGCGAAAAACTACCATCTGTAATACAAATCTATACAAAAGTGGGACCCTTGAATCGGGTGGCGGCTGGTGACTCCGGCTTCACTTTTGTATACTATAGATGCGTTATCCAGTCTTAGTACAGATCAGTGGTCAGGACATTGCTGAATTCCGGAATGGATTTTGTCAGAATCCTTAAGTCCGAAGGGACTAGGATTAGACCTGGCATAATTGCAAAATTTAGGATGACTTGGGTATTGGAAATGGCCGTTCGCATGTTGGAAATGGTGACCGTGACGTCGTCCTAAACGATTGTGTCCTTCACCACCTTCCGAAAGACTTCCTGCGTTTGTAAACTCTTTGCACCTTGTGCGTAATACTCCATCGGGTTTTAGCCTGCGCCCCTAGGACGGAATACACGAAAGCCTCGATGGACTGCTGGAATAGCTTTTGTCCAACTCTGGTTAATCCTCGGGATTTTTTGGGAATAAGGGTCTTGTAATCATTTCTAACGTCGTAGGGGGACCTGCCGGTTAGGTAATCGTATTCGATAAATGTGCCTCCGTATTTAGTTTGATAATATTTTTGACGTCGTATCCTTTTTCGTTCGTCCACCGGCTTGTTGTAGTACCACGTTCCGAGATTTGCATGGGAGGAGTCCGTTCTTTTTCCCACGTTTCATGAACGGGTGTGAATTTTTGGTTGGTTTTCATATCGTCTTTCGTAATGTACTGATCCAGAAGTTTGGGATTACGCATAAATCTTGAAAGGTGGAAATGAAGATGAAAGCGAACGATGGAGGTTACTATGTTGGAGTGTGAATCGGGATTATTATTCGTAAGGTGATCCTCGGAAATTCGAATTCCACACTTGAATGTTGTGACATAAGCTGCGGCCAGGGAGCAAAAGTAGGAATTGGAATGGTAGTCGAACGACAGCTTATCGATGAAGGTACCCTTGGTATTGTTGTACGTCGGTTTAATGGATCTAATTTTGTTATGAAACTTTCGGTCTCCGTGACGTAAACTTTGAAACTGTGCACATTCATTTTAAAATCTTTGTTCGGACGAAAAATCATGTCCGGAAGAACGCTTCGCCGTCCATCCACCCAGTGTAAAAATTTATTCCATTCAGGATTCAAACTGAAAGTATCGGATTTAATGTCATAGCTTGTGAGGTCGTCCACCTTAAAAAATATGTCTCTGGACTCCACGGTTCCGTCCTTGTCGAAGGTAATCTCAAAGTCAAATTTGGACATGATTGCGTTGGGATACTTTTTCCTAAAATTTTCTTTCATTTTCCGGATTTTAATGGGCGTTGCCGCCTTCACTTTCTCGTAATTCTTTCCGTAGTAGTTGCGAAAGATATCCTCACTCATTGTTTTATTTGATGTAAAGTTCTAACAAAACATCTCCCGGAACAACTCTGGTGTTGGATCCGATTTTAAACCGGATTTCGTTGTACCTTCCAGCATCCACCCGTACCAGACTTTCGATGTCATTGTACTTGGTCACGGTTCCGAAAAAAGGCTTGGTTCTGTCGACTGGAAGGGAGGTGATGATGGTACTCCGATTTCCGTCTGGTCCGATGTTGTGCTCACGGTTTACGAGATTACAGCTGACCGTGATGTATCGCAAATCATTGTGAATATCTACGGGACGGTCGCCGATGTGTGGAGTGTATATAGGACCGTTGGAGGATCGGTATCCCAAAATTCCCGTGAGATTCCGAAGTCACACCGTCTTTGTCCCGCTATCGAGGTCAATCTTTACCCTTCCGTCTGGATATTCTTTGAACGTCAGTCCGTTTTCCTCCATCTTTTTTCGTAGCTGTTTAAACGTCCAATATCCTTCATCCATCGTAACTTTCTTTCCATCTACGGAAATGTAGTCGTTGTAACCCGCGCGAACGTTTTTGTAATTCCAAAACACAGCGGCAGTTTTTACGAAAAGTTTGGATTTGTGGGAAAGGATTAGGGGATCCCGAAGATTTAGGATAATCCCTCCAGGAAAAACGTCAGAGAATGGTTACAAACACAAAACACGTACATCATTCACAAACCATCCAGGAAGCATTACAAAACCCAAAGGACATATGTGGACGGACTTGCACAGCAGATCCAGATGGGCCTTGTGGACATGAGCAAGTTCAGCTACAAGAATAAGGGAAACCGTTGGATTTTGACTGCCATAGAAGTTCTGAGTCGGTATGCCTTTGCCGTTCCCGTCTGGCGAAAAAGTACCGAAAGTATGACAAAAGCCGTTGAAAAGGTACTCGCACGATTTAAGGAAAGGTTTGACAGATATCCAAAAGCAGCACAATTCGGAAAGGAATTCTACAATGTAGGAGTAAAGACGTTGTTAAAGGATCACGATGTCCATTACTTTTCCACGAGAACCTTCCGGAAAGCTGCACTCGTCGAGAGATTTAATAGAACTTTGAAAACAAGAATGTGGAAATATTTTACGGAAAACAATACGAAAGTTTGGGCAGACGTTCTACCTGCCCTCGTCAAATCCTATAATAATTCCACACACAGGACGATTGGGATGAAACCGGCGGATGTGAACGAGGAGAACAAGGACGAAGTTTGGACAAGGGTTTATGGATATCCACTGGACAGTTTTCCGAAACCCAAGTTCAAAGTCGGGGATCACGTCAGGGTGGAGATAAAACATAAAACGTTCGAAAAGGGATACGAACCCAATTTCGACAACGAGTTATACGTCATCACGTCGGTGTTTCGGGGAGATCCCAACATGTCAGCCTTAAGGATCCGGAGGATGGGGAAGACATTTTAGGAAGATATTACGAACAGGAATTATCTTTAGACTTAAATAAAAATGGAAACGGAGATGAATGACGTTTCCAACGACCGACCAGAGGGTGCTGATGAAGCCGAAGGAGGTGAGGACGAAACGGTAATTGACGAAGACGATTTTATCGATCACCTCGACGTGACCAAACTGTTGACGGACTAAATGAAGCAAAAGCATCTAGTTTCCGTGAAGAGAACAAAGACGACACATACAGAAGGAGCAAATAAATAGACTGTACTTAATCGGAAATTTTAATGAAATGAAGGGAGAGTTTACCAGAAGATTGTTAAGAAGTGAATACCGAATAAATCCGACCGACGGACAAAATTCCAGGGAATTTATCTAGGGACTGGTCATAATTTATCAGGGTGGGTGGGGAGGTGTAATTTAAAATTTTAAGGAATGATATTTTGTGACCCTGCTTTGCTATAACCGGAAAAATAATGCCTCCCCCCCTCCCCTCTCTCTTGCTCCTGTCAGTAAAAATGTACCTACCTACTACTAAACCCTGCATTCAATAAATGTTCTAATTGCACTTTAAATTTTCTAATAATACTAACATTTATATTATACCAATACATAGTCATATATAAAACTTTAGTTTTTTTCAAACTTTTCATTTTAAGTTTAAAGAATCAATTTTTTTCAATGCAACTCAAACAAAATGTGAGAAGGCATGTATAAAACGATTAATTGAACTAAAACAGCAGACCTCCTCCCCGCCTTCATAAACTGTCTAATATTTTATGAACCCCCTTTTTTCTTGGCTAAAAAATATGTGACCCCCCCCCCCACTGTTTCCACCTCCCCACCCCTCCTGCTAAATTATGACCAGTCCCTAACTAAAAATAAACTGTCGTTCGACGGAACTGATGTTGGATACATTGATACGCGTGGTGTGTACAGAATGTCTGGAAATAAAAAATCTGCCGGGTCCGTGGCAGCATTCAAAAACCAATATGAGAGAGAACTCATTCAATCGAACACAAGGAGAAAGTGCGCAGCGTGGTGGAAGAGGAGACCGGAGGAAACATGCTAGAGGGGAACGTGGAGGAAATCTACGAAGACTCCGAGGAGGAATTTCACCAGAACGCTGTCAACGCAAGCGATAAACTTTCGGAACAAGCGGAAAGATTGGAAAGTGAAGGAAAAATAACCGAACAGGAAAGAAGGGAATTTGCAGGAATAACTGCTTTTAAAGGACCGCCGAAGGGAAGAATCAGACACATGGACATTATGTTGAAGGAATGGAAAAATAACCTCGAAAAAGAAACCGAAGACGATAGACGACAGATAACACAGAGGGCGGTGGACGTTGCCGAACAGGCCATCGACGATGCAAGGCTGGAAATGGGACAGGTGCCTCGGTCGGAAGAGGAAAAACACAGGTACAGGGAAATAGTAAGGGACAACATCTGAACAAAATTTGAGAGATTCCTCGTGTGGGCAAAAGAAAACATGGGGGCGTTAGCCGCCATTGCCATCTCCATTGCCGGAATTATTACGACTGTGGTGGTGACTGGAAAAAAGACCATCACGGGAGCAGCTAATGGACTTGGAGGTGCCGGGAAAGCGTTGGCAAAGTTTGCAAAATCTGCACTGCCTATCCTGGTACCTATTTTAAACATGTTAAGTACGATCCTAGGTTGGGGAGCCAAGGGTCTTGCCTTCCTCGCCCAGAATTTGTGGATCGTGGCGATCGTGATTGCCGGAGCTATATTTAGGTATTTGCAAAATAGACGTAAAAAATAAATATCCTTTTGTACTATAATAAAACATAATGAACCGAACGGTTGAACTTATGCCTGATTTCCGACGTATGAACAAGGCAGAAATCACCGGAGATAGGACCCGGCACGTCCTAACCTTCAACCCCAACTCTACCAGACCCAAAGAAGAAATTTACGTTAATATTCCAAAGCTAAAAGCCGACTCCGTTCTCGTACCGGACAGCATGGCTCTCGTCTTCGACTTTAAGAACAGTAACACAAAGACGATGCTGCAAACGACGATGTGGATGCCGCCGCATTGTTCGAAGTATTTGGAACGAGACAAAGAATCCGAATCGGTAAAATCCTAAAAGATCACGGACTTTACGTCCCACACAATATGGCAAACGATCTACAGTATGTCATAACCCTACCAGCGGCAGATGAAATCATGAACGCACAGGGTGGGGAAAAAGTGGAAGGGTATACCCTGGAAAACATCGAGTTGGAGTACGAATCCATCGACAACATCGGATTGACAAGAAAAGTGGAAAGACAGTACAACGTCGGACGTAAGCTGTCTTTCGAACATGTAATCCTGATGAAAAAGACGGAATGGAGTAAGGATTCCACCATTATCAACGAAACGATCAACGTGCCATGCAGAAGCATGAAAGCTATCGTCATGTTGTTTACGAACAAGACAAAGACAGACAGTGAAGAATATGTTTACCCCAACATCGAAAAGGTTAGGGTAAGCGCGGAAGGTGCGCCCAACGCAGTCTACAGTCAAGGTATTCCGAAAACAAGACTGTACGAAGAGGCAAGAGATGTCTCCTTCAATAGATGTTTTCTTCTTGATTTTAGCCACACTGCAATCATTTTCAGATTGTTTGCCTGTTTGAGACGTATAGCTGTTCCCTAATGATAGAGTTCGCTTTCGACGATACGCCTGCTGACAAACGCTTGTCTTCGGGGAGCCAATCTCTTGTAGGTTGGGATGGTTAGCACTGTGAAAGACGTCTTGGTCGAATTTGCCCAAATAAGTATATGTACGCCGAATAGCAACCTTCATGGTCTGAGAAATGAACCACTATTCCATGCTTCCTCTCAAGGGCCTCTTTGCAGCCCAACCACCTCTTAGGAGCCGAGAGCTTTAAAGCGAGATGATAATGAAAGCCTTGTTGTTGGTGCTTTTCAATACAACATGCCCAGTGTTGTGGCGACGATTGACTTCGTTGGGAAGTGAAAGCTTCGACTACAGCGTCCGCAAACGATTGTTTCGTAGGAAACTTTTGAAGATCGGCTTGGCTATATGTTATTAAATAGCAACGCCGTGGTTTTCTGCTATGAATTTCGTCTATCGGATGCGCCATTCTGTACAAGAATAATATTACGATACGAAGGATTCAAATTTCCCGCGGTATTAGTTAATAATTAACCACATGTAAACAAACTTCACGACGGTATTTTCGCTAATTAAAACGTCAGACTCATATAATAGTAATTAATCATTTTTTAATGCCATTCATAGCTTTTTGACAAAATCTATTGAATGTAGATCGCCTTATTATACCCTAGTGGGCGCAGACAATCAGGAGCAAAAATAATGAGACATTACGTGTTTTGAACATTTTTTCTATCTTGACATATCTATACCCGTATACTTCAATTTTCCATTGACTATTTTACCCCTCCCCCCATTGACAATGTTGAGTAATACCTTTCAGCGAACCATATGTGCTGGTATCGTGACAACAACATTGTTTTTCGGGGGGAAGGGGGCAATTCTAGAAGTCTCAAAAATTTTTGCACAAGATTGTAGGTGTTTTTCGTAAACTGCAAAAACATTCTCATTTTATTTCGAGCATTTATGTACGTAGCCGGTTGGAGCGGGCAACCAGGGGCGTAACTTGGGTCTCAAGATTGGGGGTGTGTGGACTCATTTTGCGCGACAAAAGGGCGTGGTCAGAAAATACCACGCCCATATGCACACTAAGTATAGATTTTATATATTACTCACAATTAAATGTACTATTTGCAATGAGATAAAATATAAATTTTGTCCAGGTAAACAATATTATATACATATTACAAATTTACAATAATTCAAACATAATAATTGGTTCATGATAGTTCGTATAAAACTCTAAAATGCTGAATGATAAGATTTATGCTACATGGCCGTTTACAGGTGTACCTATTTCGGTTCCTCGCACGTCAAGAAAGAACCGACTAAAGTGCAGTCGTGCTGGTGTGCGGCAAGTACAAAACGCAGGTTGCAGGTTGGGAATTTTGCAGGTTGGAATTTTGTAGGTTGCCAGGAACTTTGCAGGTTGATCATGTAAATTTAAAATTACACCACTATAAAGTATTCTAGTAATTTAATTGTGTACTTATTGCAGTCTGAATCCTTGTCAGCGCTTTTGATATCAGCCTATCCTGCTACCATTTTAAATTCTCTTCAAAACACATGTTTGTTTTTTGCCCGACGAATTACTGAGTTTTGAGTTTTGCCCAATCTCGTACCCAGAGTATGCCCGTTCGCAGGTTAGGTGCTGGGCTGCGAACGGGCATACTCTAGGTACTATAGGTGTGCATCTGATCGGATTGGACGTTTATAATCCGACAATTGCCTAATGTTTAAAATCCGATCCGAAATTGTCTAATCCGAAACCGATCCGATCCCAGTTTTGATAAACAATTCCAATCCGATCCGATCCGAAGAATTCTTTAATAAAATAAATTTCTCATTCAAGTTGAAATATTTAACTAAATAAATATAAAAGCAAGAAATACATGTTAAGAAGCTGACAAAGTGACGTCCAATTGAAGTATCAAACGAATAATGCAGCGACAACCGCGATAATGCTTTGATAAATGCATGGATAATTAATTCTTGCGATAATGCGTGGATAATTAATTCATTTTATTTCGGATATCGGCTTTAGATTAAGGAGAGCTCGGGGCAGATGCCGTTAGCGTGGTGCATCGTGCGACTGAATTAGCCTTTCTCACGCCGCCATTTTTGGTGGCTTTTCAGCCGAAGTCTGCGAGATAAGTCCACATAACAGCGACTTTTTATAGTTTTTTTGACGAATGATGGTAAATTTGCTCGGTAAATGGTTAGTTTATTTTAAAAAATTGCTTTTCACATTGTTTTAATTGTCTGCATTGGTTAACGAGAATTAGATGCCACCCAAAAATGGCGGATATTCGTCAGCGTGAGAAAGGCTAATTGATGTGATTAATTGATCCTGAGTGAGAAAGTGCGGAAACGTCACAGACAACATGTTTAGTCTATGGCATTCTGACATCAACATTTTCCCTAGACTTAGTTTCCAGGCCTAAACTGTGATGAGAGTGTGCGAGCTGGTTAACCGAAGAAAACACGTCACACCGAAGTTTTTACGAGGGCGCACCTCAATGGACTAGCCTCCCCCACTCCAAAATAAAAAGTCAGCGAGCCCTTAGTTCGTGACGATTAAGTTTCAGCTGCGTCCTTCATTCCCTGCTGGCAGAGGTCTCTATTTGTGCTGGGAACTCGAAGAAGAAGAGACCTCTGCCTAGATCTGACACGTTTTCTGTCGTGCATGTGCAAGAATTGCCATGACAACGAGTGATTTTCACCACGTGATATCAAACCGGTTTTTGCGGGAGCAACTTGGTAATTCAAAGACTTACCGTAGTTTGAAGGCAAACAAATGTCAATATCGATTTGAAAATATCAATTACATAACTTAGAGCACTTCAAACAACATGAAAAACCTCGAAATGACCACGCTGTCCAAGCCGCCATTTTGACACTACGGGCTCAATGTCATTACAGCGTAATTCAGCTCTAAGCATGCGTACTATTTGTTTCCCTAAACCGGTTTCAGAACTTGTTTTACAAACTGGTTTGACTCGTCCACGATCATGGACTGAGGAAGTGTCGGATCTAGGCAGAGGTCTCTTCTCCTTCGAGTTCCCAGCACAAATAGAGACCTCTGCCAGCAGGGAACGTCCTTCATACATATTATTAGAACCCTGTATTAAATATACTTTATTTTATCGTTGTTGATGCAGATGTTGATGTATATAGTTATAGGGCAATTGCTAGATAGTATACTTCAAAATAGGGTTTCCGTTTTTATATCAATTTTTTATTTTTAAAATAAGTTAGGGTTAGGTTAGGGTTTAGTTTTGCGTTAGGATAGTATTTTCTACGTTATAAAAACGGAAACCTTATTTTGAAATATACTTTCTAGCAATCACCGTTTCAGAATACTAGTTTCTTATAATGCTAGTTTCTTGTCATTAGCACGGATATAACACTAGCATTAATATCAAACAGCAACATCACTATGACTCCATAACCAACATCGACATCTTGCAACTTCAACGTTAAACAACTAGAAAGTATACTGTTGTTTGATATTAATGATAGTGTTATATCCGTGCTAATGACAAGAAACTAGCATTATAAGAAACTAGTATTCTGAAACCGGTGTTTCTATTTTTAATTTGTAGATTTTGCCAACACTGTCAACACTTCCAGGAAAACCCTTCCACAAATGTTTCAAACGAAGCCGTGAAGTTGAAGAAATGTGGTTCATATACGAAAGCATGAACAGTGAAAACGAGGCGCATTTGACAAGTCTTTACTTAACTGGCCCTCCTGGTTCAGGAAAAACGCAGTTGGCGCGACAATTCGGGGAAAAATTTCTAAAACACACACCAAATGACAATAGTCCAGTAGTGTTGACAATCAATGTTGAGTCAATGAAATCGTTAATAAAATCAACAAAAGACGTGTTACATCAGTTAAACCTGGTTAAGGCAGATAATACCAAAGAAAGCGACGAGATTAAAGTCGTGCAATTGTATATGGAAACATTACGAAATATTCTAATTAAATACCCTGGAAAGTGGCTTCTAATTTTCGACAATATGTTTTGTGATAAAGATTTTAAAGGAATATTACCGCAACCCGGTTGTGAAAATTGGGGAGATGGCAAAATTATCATAACCTCCCAAAATAGTGATCTTGCTCCAGTCTGTCATGAATACGCTAAAACGTACACATTGATGCACGGATTGGAAGAAAAAGATGCAGTAAATTTGCTTGGGAAAATCAGTGGTCTTAAAGAAGATGAATTTGCCGTATGTTTAGCAAGAGAACTGGATTTTTTCCCACTATCTCTTGCGTGCTCAGCGACCTATGTTAGTCAGATGATTACAGATCGTCCATCTAGTAATTTCTCGTGGAGAAACTTTCTCGAACTGTATCGGAAACACAAAGGCAAGCTGACATTTCGAGCTTTTGAAGCCAACGTCTATCCCCATTCGATGGTTGTTGCTGCACGACTGGCTACAAACCGCCTAGCTGAATATAGCAATGTCCTTCGTCATGCATTTGACTTCCTGTCATATTGCACCATAAGCCCGGTACCTTTAGTCATTGTTTCAAACTTTGTCCAAGCCTCGCTTTCGTGTGATGCAATAAGTGATGAGATCATGGCTGAAATTTCACGCTGTTCTTTACTGTCAAATTCTTCCTCCTCATTTGAAACAGTGGAAAATATTGAATTCCATCAGGTAATGGGAGAAGCATTCGTAAGCGTAAGAGAGGAACGGGCTGCCGCGCAAAAATTAGATACCGAGGAAAGGAGAAAGGAATACGCCTCTTTACTACATTCCTTACGAGAAAGTTTGGAAAAAGCGATTTCAGATTACGATCGAACTAGCGTCTCCCTTAAGGTGTTAGCAAGTCCGCATCTGAAGTCGATTATTAATTTTGGCAAAGCTCAACAATGGACTGATTGCGAAGAGTTTGTTGTTATCCTAGCCTTTCTTGCAGATTGTCTTTATCACGTTCCTGGTGTTACCGAAGCTGAACGCATCTCATATTGTGAACTTGCTCATGAAATTGCGCATCGTCTCCCCGAACCAATGAAAAGTATTCGGTACTGTCATGTACTTAAAACCCTTGGTTTCTACTACCGAGAAGCAAATCGCTTTGAAGAAGCTGTGGCTGTGTTAGAAGAAGCTGTGACTGTGTTAGAAGAAGGTCTGCGCTTGACGCATGGTGAAGATAGCAAAGAATGGATAGCACTAAAATCATCCACACTGAATGTTCTCTCGTGGACGTATAAATTGCAGACCAAATTCGACCTCGCAGAGCAGACTATGAAGGAGTCGATCCATCTTGCTAAAATATCTTTCGGGGACAATCATCAAGAGGTTATAGAGAGGCTTTGTAACTTGGCAATAATATACCGCGAGAAACAAGACATATCCAAAGCTAAAGAGACAGCAGACCAGGCACGTCAAATGGCTGAGATCACGACAGACGAGTGGCACTTAACGAGAGCACAAGCAGCCAACTACTCGGCCAAAATTTACTTACGCTATGCGGAAATGATTGATAACCCGGGAAAAAAGAATGAACTGCTGAATGAATCATTGAAGTTGCACTCTAATGCATTAACCATTTACGAAAATGTTTTGGGAAAGAATCATATTTATGTAGCAGGTGTGTGTATGACTTATGCCCTTGTGTACAAAGAACTAAATGACATTGATCGTGCGCTTGAACTTGTGAAACGGGCGGAGGAAATCTATCAGGATGTGGAACATGTCCAGTTAAGTTATGCTCTGCGTTGCAAGACTGAAGTATTACTGCCTCTTGGTAAAGCTGACGATGCTGAGAACGCTATCAAGAGAAGCATCGAGATAGAAAACTGTGGCCGTGCAAGATTTTTGTTATCCGATGTGTATCTGCAACAGAAGAAATATCAAGAATCAAGAGCTATTATCCAGGAGGTTCTGACCCGTTGGAAGTCAGGTGTTCTACCTCCAACTCATATTTGGGTAAAACATGCCGAGAGGATAAAGCAACAATGTGATAGAGGAATACTTAAAACGTACATTTTTAGACTTCTTCCGGTAGTTGTCTTGCTTGTTTCTATCTTTCTGGGTATTTGGTATAAAAGTAATATGTAGTGAAAATCTGTAGTATAGACAAATTATACCATTTTTTGGCAGTAGAGGTGTCTGGCATGAAACCGATTTTCAAGATTTCCAAAGTCGAATTGCAATCAACAAAACTGCTTAACGTCGGTTGATTACACAGTGAACACAAACAGACTTTTAATTTTAAACACTTTTATTCCTTCGTCTAAATAGTTGTATATACTATTACGACACTTTTTCCTAATTTGTACTTATTTTAATTGTATGTACTTAATTTGGATTGTACGCAATTCAGCTTCTAAGCTACAATGTGTATTTTTAATAAACTACATATCTATCATCCATCTGTCTATGTTCTAACGTAAAATAAATTCCACGAACTCAAAGTTAAAAACAAATGATCAATATATTATATCAAGTACTATAGTTGTTTTTTTTTTCAAAAGGTTTCTCTCCAAACGGCGCTTTGCTCATGCGCAAGGAGTGTGCTGACTTGACGCAGCCTCTGGGGAACGTAGGAAATGTTTAAAAACATCAAAAAAGCATGTTAAATCATTATCAATAAAATCATTATAAGAATTTTAAACTCAACCCCCCCAAACCAGCCTGATCCACCACCTCATCAGGAGTAATCCCAAATATTAACTCCATTTTCTCTTTTTACTCTCTCTTGCCTCGAGCTGTCTGCATTCTTCACAGATACGTGCGCTACCCGCATCACTCACAATTCCAAACACTCATTTGATTTTTTCACCCATAGCTTCAAGAAAAAAACAGCGCAACGAAACGCAAAATTACAAAACCGAGGTTTTTTATACACAAAAAGCACGATCTTGCTACCTTTCGCACGTCACTTCCACTCCTCCTTTCCTCTGTCTTGGGCAGCCTAGTCCCTAACCGTTCTGCAGGGGCAACGAAAAACGAACCGATAAAACTGGCTTAGGTATGACGTCAGTTAGTTGTGACGTCACCGCGCAAGGTCCCTTCCCCACAGCTACCCCTCTCCCACCACAAGTACCCCTTCGTACCCCTATGAACCAAGCATAGCGCGCGCGAGAGAGAGCCTAGGGCTAGGCTATGTCTTGGGTATTGGCAAATAAATAATCTGCTCACCACTGACAAATCACGATATTTTTTTCACTGATTTCTTGAGAACCAAACGCTGCTTTGTACATTGTTTGCCGGAGTTTGATGAAAATGCAATGTAGAGGGTGGTAAAGTGTGTGTGTGTGGGGGGAGGGGAGGCTTCGGATCACGTTTCACGTAAGAAAAACAGCATTTCACGTTTCACATACGCAACTTTTTAACTGCATAAATGTTCTTTTCAATGTTGAGTATTATTAGACTTTCTTAAAGCGTTAGCGTATTTTTACATTTTTGAAACTAATTTCACCACTGAAAACTCAAAATTGAGAGACTTTTAAAACCAAGCGATATGCCTTGTAAACAAAATACATGCACAGTAAAACTGTTACATTCGAAGCATAAAGCATTGCTCTTCTTCACATTCGCTCTGTGTACTCGGTCACTACTCGTCCAGACTTTCTTCAAAAATCTTCTCGCTTCCGGACAAAAATTACAATCGCAGCTCACGGCTAGACGTTTAAATCACGCTTCACGAGACAAAAATCCGTCATTTCACGAGAACAAACATTGGCGACTCACGAAAACATCCTTTACCACCCTCCATGTATAGTAAAACAGTTATTGAAGTTGATTTTGACATTTTTGTCATTTCCGGAATTCGGTGTATCATACAGGGGTAATGATAATCCAATGACTGTTTTATACAGAGTTTGTACGCCTTCACGATTTTAAAAATCCACTTTCAATGACTTTTTCAACCAGTTTTCCAGGGGGTATTTAAAATATGATAAAAGTAATTTCGCCAATAAGTTTTCACCATAAATAGGGCTATCAAGTAATATCACTGTCAAAAAAGATCCATATACTATGCGGAAGAAAGTTTAGTTATCAAACATATTGCAACAGAATATGTTTAATTTTCCAGGGTTCACTTTGAAATTCCAGGACATTTCAAGGGGTTTCCAGAACTAAAATAAAAATCCAGGGTTTCCAGAATTTCCGGTGGGCGTACGAATCCTGAGTTTACCATAAAATCATTACATCTTATATCGTTTCAAGTATGCAAACCCAACCATGTACGCTAGACTCAAAGCTATTAAAAATGTAGGTGCTGAAGGTAAACATAACTGCAGAGGTGTGAGACCACAGGGAACTGGGGGGATATCTTCAGAGGGAGGTTCATCTTGGTAGATTTCTTCTTCTGATATTTTCTTCATGGCATGAAGTACTTCACGAGCTGCACGTTCACCAGCCTCTACTGCACCGTCCATATAGCCTGAAAAAATTTCCAATTATTACAGTAAATACTGGGCACACAATACATTGTGTCGAAAACCTCCTAGATCACTCATTGAAGTTAGGCTACCTAGCTGTTGATGAAATGTATAATTAAAAGATAAATTATAGAATTAACAATGTCAATTGGTCTTCACAATATGAAATATAATGCTATGCAATATACTGTAATGTATAATGACATATATATAATGTACCATACAGACTTATAGTAAAAACATGTATTTCAGGGCAAAGGAATATTATGCATGTAATGTTCTTTAATTTACTCAAATTATGTATACAACGTTAGGGTAATGTAATTTTATATACAATACAATACAATACAATACAATACAATACAATACAATACAATACAATGTTATGTAACGAAATATGAATATAGCACAAATAATATAAATGCAATTACAATATAATGGTGCATAATGCAATGTAACTTGATACCTGCCCATGTAGTTGCCGTTTCCGTGCCTGCAAAATAGACATTGCCTTCAGCTCTTCTTAATGCTTCGCCATAACTCGTCAAAACTCCACAGGGCAGAACACTGACATAACACCCTCCAGAATATTTCTCAGCAGGCCAGTTCTTATCAATGTAATAACGCGGTGTCTTCGCCTTGTCATTACTAAATGCTTTAGCATATTGTTCACATACAGCTTGTTTTCGTTCTTCACCACTTTTGGTGCACCATAATCGCGCTTGTTCGCCCACAATAAATCTAGTAAGAAGAGATAATGTGTACATTGCATTCAATCGCCCGTATTCTAAAAGCTCACTCACACTCAATGAGTGGAGGTTCAATCTGAGCTTCTCTTGAGTGTCAATGCTGTTTTTGAATAGCTGGAGGGTGAGTAGTCATGTATTAAGGTACGATACTAATCCTCCAGCTATTCAAAAACTGCACTGGCACCTAAGAGAAGCTCAGATTGAACCTCCACTCATTGAGTGTGAGTGAGCTTTTAGAATACGGGCGAATTTCTCGAGAGTCGTGATTTTCAAGACACAAAATGTGGCAATGAATCCGAATTATTTCTATAATGTAAATTACTGTGCATTCCACACAAACCACATTATCTAAATTCATCTGGGGCCGGTTGTATCAAAGGCGTTTAACTCGCTAACCACCGTTTAACTCGCTATCCGCTGGATAAAATTTAAACGCTCGAGAAATCGCGTTGTATCAAGCCCGTTTAGGGCTATCCACCGGTTAAATTTTGCCTATCCACCGTGTAAACTTATACGGTCTCTTGAGACCGTTTAAATCGCTATACGGCGGATAAACTCGGAGTTTGAAGATAAAACAATGATTATTTCGGATGAAAAAGCATGGGATAGTTATAAAAATGCACAATCATGTGGAGGAGTTATCTTTTTAAATCCAATAAACATGAAAAACTCACTTTTAACTGGCTTGGTCTTGAGGTACACTGAGGTCACTTGCTCACTTGTATTAAATTCCGTGGCTTTGCCTTTGCTATATTTACACACACCAGTGTCATGTTTAGATGTTAAGTATATATACTCTGGCTTTTTCTCCTTCTTTTCTTCTATTATATAGTTTGAAAACAAGCAGTAAGACTCCCAATTTTAGCTATTGTAAAACAAACAATGACTTTGGAAAGCCAACAAGTATACAAAATAGACAACAAGACGCCGAAAGTCGAAAAAAATTGTTCGCTCACGTTAATCGCTTTGATCAGCCAATCAAAACTTGGGACAAAATGTTCTTAAAATTGTTTTGAACAAAAGTGCAAGGTCGAGGAACAAATTTCAAACAATATAAAACTGAATCAACTGACAAAAGCCAAATACAACTCACAGTTTTTGCTATTGCCTTCGACTCTTCGCATAAAGAAGCCAAAAATCTTTAAAGAAATATCCGTAAGTGAATTTAAGTGAATGAGAAACTCAGCACAATGTGAAAATGAAAAGTTTGATATAGATTTGCAGCAATGAATGGACGAGCAAACTCCAAATAAAAACAACAAAAGCTTAGTGGAATTCACAAGTTAGATAAAGCTTCAAAAGTTTACAAATGCCTAGCAACAGTTGACGTAGAGGTAAGAAGTTTCAAGAAAATCCGGTTTTCTCTGGTTAAATTCAAGGTTATCCTACGGATAGTTAAACGCGGTACTAAACGGGCTTCATACAACGCAATTTTATCGGCCGTTTAACTATCCGCTGGATAAGAAATGTATACGCTGGATAGCGGCTAAACACCGTTTAAGGGGCTGTTCACACATAGCAACGTTGAGATCGGTCTAATTTTGGATCGATCTTGTAGCGATCCGAGATCGCGCGAGCCAAATTTAGTGGAATGTCCACACTTGCACAGAACTTTTGCAGTTAACGTACCAAATTATGGGGACTGGGGTCAAGAATCAAGATCAATTTTCAATATGGCGGATTCGGACACCGCGATTGTAGGATTGGCAATAATAGCAAGAGATTTAGCTAAGAGGTTAAAAAGGAGACAAAGTAAGTGGGAAAAATATTTCTTTCGCAGAAAGAAAAAAATGGCCATTTTATTTCTCAGACTAAGTGAAATCTATCTACGTCGAGAGACGGTGCTAAGAAGGTTCTGGCAAGAGCCAAGCAGAGGGAAAAGTTTATTTTGGGAAAGAACCGCAAGTCAGTGGGTCGATGACAATCTCTGGGTTGAAAATTTCCGCATGTCGAGAAATTCTTTTCTTGCAATCTGTAGAGAATTAAGCGAAGTCTTACACAAGAAAGATACAAGGTTTCGTAAAGCCATTACACTCGAAAAAAGAGTAGCTGTTTGCTTGTGGCATCTTGCAACAGGCGAAGACATGAGATCTTTAGGCTGGCGATTTGATATTGGCAAGAGTACAGCTTGCCAAATTGTTAATGATGTGTGTGAGGCTATAGCTGTTGTGCTTTTACAAAATGTCATTAAATGGCCAACAGGAGAGGCATTGAAATCCGTATTAAAAGGGTTTAAAGAAGAATGGCAATTTCCACAGTGTGCAGGTGCTATAGATGGGACACATGTCCCAATTGCTGCTCCATCAGAATACCCATCCAATTATTATAACAGGAAGTGTTTCTACTCAATTATCATGCAGGCTGTAGTGGATCATGCATACAGGTAAACAATAAAAGTGCAAATAAGTTCATAACGTGCAACCTTTATAGTGTATGTAATCTACAAGATACTCTTTTAAATACTTTTAGATTTATAGACATCTATATCAAATGGCCAGGAAAGGTGCATGATGCTAGAGTGTTCTCTAATTCATCTCTGTTTCATAAGGGCCAAGAAGGGCAACTCTTCCCCAACGTAAGTATGAGATGTGATGAAATCTGTTAAAGATATCATGGTATTATAACGTTTAGATGGATCCCATTCCCATAACCCTTTAAGTGGAATGCACCCTGATGTGCCCTAAAAGATAATACAGTTACCTTTCTTTAGTGGACAGAAAATATCAGTAATTGTGAAGTTCCAATTACCCTAATTGGAGATGCAGCCTACCCTTTGTTACCCTGGCTAATTAAGGGATTTCAAGATGATGGAAATCTCTCACGAAGTCAAATCCAATTCAATAGAAGTCTTAGCAGCGCACGTATGGTAGTATAAGGAGCATTTGGCCGTTTGAAGTGTCGATTTCGTTGTCTTCTTAAGAGAAATGATACAAGCCTGCAGAAGTTACCTGTCAAAATTGCGGCGTGTTGTGCTTTACATAATATATGTGAAATGAATGGGGAAAAGTTTAACCCAGAGTGGCTTCAGAATGATGTTAATAATAATATCAACATAATTAATGATGTTCGCATCCCTGACGCAACTGCCATAAACATTCGACAAGCACTAACTAATTTCTTTAGTGCACAAAATGCGTAACATATTAACAAAAACTGATGCATGCAAACTATAACTTTACAAAGGCTGTGTTTTGCCTTTTTGGTTCATAAAAACGTTAACAGTACCAAAATTATGTAATTAATATGGTCATATGTTTGATAAACTGTTCCTCTTTTATAATTTATTATAATTTATAATATGTTTTGGTGCTGTTTTCATCTTCAAAGTAAAACTGATTACTGAGAGGTTGTTGCACAGATGGCTGCTGTCTGCTTGAAATGGCATTGGCCAGTAATGCCATCGAATCAGTATATGCCTTTAATTCTTGTTTTCGTAGCTCAGTATCAACTTTAACCTGGTGTTTCATTTCTTCCAAAATTTTTTCATCTGATTCCTTTTGGGATTTTGTAAATTCATCCATACATTTTTGAAATTCTTCTTGTTTTGACAATCTTTGCTTCTTCTTGTTACTTCGTATTGATCCTATAATATTGCGTTTTGCATTTGATGGCTTTGATCCACTGGCTTCAGAATCTTGTGCATCAAGATCTGGAGTTTCATGGCCAACAGCTTTTTCTAACTCAGACATAATTTCTGAAGCATTGTCATCATCATCATCACCATCTTCACTTGAATCATGGATATCTTCACCTATTAAGATAATAACAATATAACATTCTAACTGCCACTCTGTTATGCACTAATATATCAACCTTCCATGGCCAAGCAGTTCAATTAATTATAAAAACCTTGTATCACAATTTACAATGGGTTGTTCCAGAAAAGATCCATACTCCCCCCACGGAGGAAATTTCTGCCGTCCGGAGGTGGAGGGGAGAAACATTGTTCCTGATAATAGTAAATGTATTAGGACATCCAAAGGGGGTAGGAGGGTTAATATCCTCTGTGGGTGTGGTATGGATGTTTTCTGGAATAACCCAATGCACATAAAACTTGTACCTGCTTCTTTGCAACCACAATCAGAGCACTCAAAATCATCATCATCATCAGAAAACACACCAATGCATCCATTATCACTGATGTGTACCCCAGATGTTCGAATCTTTGTTGCAGTACCACAGTTTATGCATTTTTTCTCTAACTTTTTCCCTTCACCATATTTTTTTATTAAATCCAATTCTAAAAATCAAAAAAGCTAAATGAAATGCCTATAATTTGAATCAGTTATAGATAGTTTTAGAAAATTCTACTGTTTATATACACTGCCCAAACAATGGCCAAGCAGTGATGGCACCATGTATAGGGGGAATAGAAACGAGGGAATCGCAATTTTGAGGTGGAAAAATCAATTTTTTCTTACAAAACTAGCAAAATATTTTATAAACAACCGATATATTTCTGCAAGAAAACGATAATCATGCAGACTATGCAAAAAATATCTGTAGTTAAACACAATAATACAAAGGAAAGATTAAATTTCCACTTGCCTAGATCTGATTTATTTTCCGTTTCTTCTGAAATTGACGAAGACAAAGTATCGATGGCTGCATCAATTCCAGTGGCCTCAGGTTGGTCACCAAGAAAAACATGTAGCTGCTCAAAAAACTTCGGTTCTTTCACTCTTGCAGCCCCTGAACGAGCCAGTGCATCTTTGTACTTTTTATATGTGGTTTTCAAGTGCTTAACTTTTGTTCTACATTGTGTAAAATCGCGTTGGAACCCCAGGGTTTCCAGTTTTGCACTCATTTTCCCGTATATGTCCTTGTTTTTACGTGATGTTGCCAGCATCTTTAAAATTGATTCTTGACTCCAAATCGATATTAATGCCAATACTTCATCATCACTCCAGGTTTCTCCTCGTTTAGCCATGGTAAAGCTAGATTATTTTGCAGAACTTCGACGAACAACAAAAAAAAATGGCGGTCGAACAATTTCGATCAAAACTCTGGAGAAAAAACGCGCGAAAAATTGCCAGGCAGCTAAGCACCAAAACTAGCTCGGTCTAAATGCGCGAACCGATCCGAGACTACCTCCCGAGGTGGTCTAGTTTAATTCGACCTCGATTCGATCTCGGTTCGTTTTGGGCTGTCCACACTTGGCCCGATACGGACTGAGACCGCTTTTTGATCGATCTAAATTGCTAGTGTGAACAGCCCCTAAGTTAAACACCTTTGATACAACCGGCCCCTGCTGTGTTCTTTATCGAATTATTCATTCTCACTTTTCCATGTCTCAGAAGTTAAACCTTGCAAACTTAAACTTTGAGGCATCTCGCTCGATAGAACTGAATGTAATTTTTTTTTTTGTAGATGGGAATTTTTAACCTTATTATCGTCAACCTAACAGACATCAAATGAAACAAATATATTTGTCCATCTTCTTATTAGATCGATCCTGCGGTGATTGTTATGGCGATTGCATGGCGACGCCGATGCTGTTAAAGTATACTGTATTTCCAGCTTATACTGAAAATACAAAACATGCTAGCATATTTTCTGTATATCGATTATCGATCTTTCTTTTAAAATGAAATACCAAACAACCGATACTTTTTAGAAATGGTGAATGCACACTGTAAAAACGAATTGGTTAAAACAACTAACAAATTGGTTGTCTCAGATTCATTTTGAATCTTCTGAGACTAACTTACTGGTTGTTTTACTGTAACCAAACTCCGAATAGAAGTTCCATCTTGAACAAAATATTTGAGAAAAACAAGAGGACACACGATTTATAACGAGAAGACTGTTTCTCGAATATTGAGTTCAACATGGAAATATTCAGAGTTTGTTTCATACATAGTTACAGTATGTGTTATTTCAAGAATTAATCAGTTGGCATACAAAAACTGCCTTACACTAGTATATACATACTGTAAAATACATGGTAAATGACAGTACCATGCAGTAAAGCAATCATAAAAACACAAAATACTATGAAGTATGAAGCAAAGTTACCCCATTAATGCAGGATAAGATCCATCAGGTTTAGAGTCGTCTAGGGTTACATAAACAGGACCAGAATCAGCATTTGCAATCAAGACACCAGAGAGACCCTGCTCACGCCACCAGGCATCTTCATAGTATGTAATTGTCTTAATAACTGAACCCATAGGCATCTTCTGGATCAGTTGGTTCTTCAGAGCTGACAGAGGTGGTGAAAACGAAATACTCCGTAGCAGGGCATGTGGTATGGCACTTATAACATATCTAGTTTTGTAAACCTTGCCATTCAAACATCTCACAATTGCATGGTCAACTTTCTGTTCGATGCTACATACAGGCGACGATAAGACTACCTAAAATATAGTGTATGTTTACAGATGTAGTAAAAGGCTAACGGGCTGAATGCATGCATGCAAGTATAAATCAAAGGCCTTCGAGTCGAGGCCGACTCACGTATACGGATATAATCCAAGGGCGCATGTGTCTGTGACTTTGTATGCTGTTATATGACAACTCGTCACGACTTGTGAAATGATAACTCGTCGCGACTTGTGAAATCAATGGACCATTCCCGAATTAACCAAAATTTTGAACTCAACAAAAATTTCATCACAGCTTGAAAGAGCATCACAAAATTAGTAATATTCCAAAGTTTCGTTGCAAAATGTTGTAAAATGCGGATAATATAGCCTTGCGAAGTTTGCAATTTTCAGTCATTTTAGATTACAAACGGGAAATGGTTACCACTTCAGTTCTGTGCGTAATACAAAATGACTGAAAATTACAAACTTCGCAAGGCTATATTATCCGCATTTTACAACATTTTGCAACGAAACTTTGGAATATTACTAATTTTGTGATGCTCTTTCAAGCTGTGATGAAATTTTTGCTTAGGCTAGTTAAGATCGAAATTTTGGAAAAGTGGTAACCATTTCCCGTTTGTAATCTAAAATGACTGAAAATTGCAAATTTCGCAAGGCTATATTATCCGCATTTTACAACATTGCGCAACGAAACTTTGGAATATTACTAATTTTGTGATGCTCTTTCATGCTATGATGGAATTTTGTCTAGACGTGTTGAGATCAAAATTTTGGTTAATTGGGGAATGGTCCATTGCAACAAATCGTCACGAGTTGCATGTGAATTGGAAACTTAGAAGCGGGTAACATGAGGTTGCCAACTGTGCTTGTGTGGGTCGAGCTCCGCGAATTTCTTCAGGAGTCGTAAAATTGAAAATATATAGGCTATACGTTCATTACTTCATTCCTCACTCTTCAAAACAGACGTGATTTATAAATGGCACACAATGCCACCCATAATATTTGGTTGATTTTTCGTTCTTTAGAAGACTATAACTTGCCCTAGATTATGAAATCGCAATTTATGAAACAACCTACCAAGTAACCAAATTGTCGCTCTTAGACAGTTTGATAGTTGTGCATGCACCTTAGGGATTTGAATGAATGTATGCCAAAGGGTTAATTAAGTCAACAAACTTTCTGTTTTTCTTAATACAATGCCTTCGACTGAAGGTGCGATCTAAACTAATTGGAACGCAATCAAACTTTCAGTGCGCATAAATTAGGAGTACGTCTTTGTTTGGTGTGAACCGGCTGATTTCTGCCTACCTTCAGTATTTGCGTTCAGTTTTACTTTTATAAAGACAAGTTATTCTCTGGCAATCACCAGAATCATGATTTTTATATTGCGATTGTGAACTAGCAATCTTTCATGTAAACCTTGCCCTAGATTTAGCACTTGTATACTCACCTGTAAATACATGATTTTATGCAATAAAAATAATTAACTTCGAGAACGAATATGTGCGTGTTGTTTATGTATATATTAATTATATATTCATATTAGTTATTATGCAGGTTTACCGAGATTATTTAAGCCGTGGAGCTCACAGGTATAGCTCATTGCTTGCAGACCTTCAAATTCACAACGTCTTCTCTCCTTTACAATGCCGAGATTAACAAATAATAGCTTAGCTGGCTTTAGTCTAAGTTCAACAATTTCGTTGGATACTTCGTTGTTGACGGCTGTTTCGTTTCCGTCCACCGTTGGTCATTCTTCGGAGAGCAATGTCTTAATATGTCGACGTCTCCTTGGTTATTTTTCCCCAAGTTCCTCTACTGCTGTGATTTCAGTGGTCGAAGCTTCGTCGTCCTCGACAGTTTGTTTTCCCGCTCCCTTGGTCGTTCCTGCCTCGCAGTGTTCCCTCGCTGGCTCTTCGGTTCGTCGTCTACTCGTCTGCTGCGGTGCCTATAATGCATGAGTCAATTCCAGGAGTAACCATCCCCCCCCCCCCGGGAACACACCCGGACATTTGATTTGATTGGTTATGATAGTGTAAATGCCCGGGTGCCGGGACACAACTTGAAGACTAATGCACGGCCCCTGGGTAAGCTGAGAGTGGAAAATGCCCCACCCCGGGGACGATTTTACAGTCGATTTCACGAAACTTTGACCACAAATGTTCCGAACTTCGTTGCGAAGTTCGCAAGTTCGTTGCGAAGTTCGGAAGCTCATATTGGAATTCACAAGCCAATTTGTAAACAAAGTCCCTGATTGGTCCGTGAAGTAAAAGAAGCCAATCAAATGCGTAGTTTACGAACTGGTTTGTGAATCTCATTATGAACTTTTGAACTTCGCAACGAAGTTCGGAAAATTTGTGGTCAAAGTTTCGTGAAATCGACTGTAAACGTTAATTAAACTTTTAATGGCATATAATCATAGTCATTTAATATCATTATAGTATTAAACTGCTATGGAATATTATAAAGCATAAACCTTTAATAGTTGTATTTAAATTTGCATGGCACAGGGTATAATTTTGCAAAATACGATCAGCGCGCCCAACATGCGTGCCTGAAACTAGGTTTTGCTGCCTTAAAATTTGTGGGTGGGATTTTGGTCAACCATTTGTCAAATCCCCGGGGTCCTCCAATACCCGGTCCCCGTGCACATATATGAAAGGCAAATTCCCGACCCCCGTGAATTGGCCAAAATTCGGCCAAATTCCCGGGGGGGGGGATGGTTACTCCAGGAATTGACTCATGCATTATTTACTAGCTGCAGTTCTGTCGCCGATTCCATCGTTCAATGCCACTGCTTTCCCACTTCCATATCTGCCTCATCCCCCTTGGCCGGTTTCCAGCTTACAGCATCGACCTACAATGCTACAACAAGCGTCACAACCAATGTTTTCATACGTGTCTCCTTCGTCCTTGTTTTTCTGGTCAGCCATCTTGTCACCTTGGCCCAGTCCCTTCTAGCACGGCTCAGTCATTACATCCCATCCACCAGCAGGTGCCGCTAACTTCCATCCACCAGCAGGCGCCGCTAAATTCCATCCTCCAGTCGGCGACGCTGAATCCCATCCCACAGCCGCCCCCGACTCCCTTCTACCACTGAGCAGGGCCTAGTAAATCCCATCCTTCCGTAGGCGCTCCCGAATCCCGTTCATTAGCAGGCTTTAAGCCTTACGCAGAGGGCTTGCCATTAACAACGCCAGCTGCCGTTAACAATCAGCTTATGGGGATGCAACGTGCAGGTTTGTGGGAGGCGTCACGTATGTTGGGGCAGGTTCCTCTTTTGGTGTGTTACTATTACCGTCTATTATTTGCTATGTTGCTAATCAGTCTATGTACTTCTTTATTGACATGGTACTAAGGTACTTGGCGTGCTACTTAGCGATAATGTTTGTATTTACGTTAGCTTTGTTTGTATTATTATACCACTGTTTTGCAGCTTATTGCCCGTTACTTCTTTAGCTCGTGTACCTGTAGGGGTTAATACCCCTGTGGCGGCCGTTACTCCACTCGTCCTCACCGAATTTCGGCGGGGGGCTAATCGGGTTTCCGACTAGGGCGGTTAGTCTGAGTTACGCTTGGGGGTTGGGAACGCCTTTGGAGGGGGTTCGTGCCTCGAATCCCTTCTCCAGCTGCGCTGGAGGATGGCGTTGGAGAGGTGAATTCTCGGCATCATTGGGATTTGCCAAGCCGGGATAGTCGTTGGTCGGTAGCTTGAGTACCTACTTGACAGCCAAATTAACTTCAGTTCGTGGTTACAGCAGCCTTGCTAAACGTAGCGTGCATCCTCTCCAACAGAGCTATACCCTCCAAAGAACTGTCGTGCTTAAGTCGTGTGCTATTACTCTATATGCTCTTGCTATTCGTTCACTGAGTGATCGCATGTTAAGCGAGATTTATTATAATATGAATACAAGAATTCCTGCCGCATTAATATGATCAAAACAATAAACCATCTTTTTCACAATGGATCATTATTTGATTAAGGATGATATTGCTGACTGGATATTCTTCTAATGAACATTTGTGAGGTCGGTTTGGTCTTATTATATTTTATTATTAACCCATATTGAGACTGCCAAGATTTGCGACACACTTTTAAATTGAGTTCATGTGTAAAACGTCGAATTTATAGTCTGGCTGAATCGCATTAATTACTGGTTTAGAACTTTGTCCGAATGTATCATAAAAGTTATTTCAATGTGCTCGGGTGTTATATTACTACGGCAGTGCCTCCGCTATTCCCCAACTTGTAACTTGCAAAATACCGTGAATCATTGCGGCAATGACGGCAATTTTTTGCCGTATAGTGTAATTTTGTGAGACAAAAAAAATAACGTTTTCTGTTAAAAAATAATTGCAAATAGAAGGCTGCCTTAGTATCTTAAGTCTTAACACTTTGTTAATTAAATAATAGCCAGCTTATAGGTATACAATATAATGTATACGTAAATATGTTGTAAATTATTTTTTTCGATGACATTGTTATGTTGTTAACATGCTATTTGATGTTCTTGAGCTTGCAAATTAAAGTATAATTGGTTCAATATTGTCTATTGATCAAATCATGTGTAAATTACTTAGTTTTCTTCGAAAAAAAACACTAAAGAAATACGTAAACATGTTTCTAGCTTGTCAACAATCCAAAGTAACAATTATAAAATTAAATTTTTATTAATTTGTAAAAATGCCAAAATTGCCATAGACAGCTGTTACGTTCTACGGCAATTTCTAATGACATTGCCATCGATTGATTTCAGGGAAATTTGAGGCCTGTAACGCATGTTGCACATTCATAACTTGTGAGTGACTCGTAACTCGCATCAAATTACTCGCAGTCTGTACTGTATGTCACATTTCAAATTCAGCCATCAATTCATGGACAGGAATAGTGGTCTCGGCAAATATTTCCATACACCAGAATGACAATCATATACGGCTGGTCATATCATGTAAATGGGCAATGTAAAAATACTGTATAAATTTATACATGGTGACATTAGATCATGCCAAAGCGAGACAGCTTGGATGCCCGGACTGGTTCACCTCCATATAAACACACACTTTTCAAGACTTTATGGCATGGCGCTTCTATTAATGGCACAAGTGTAAGTATATCAAATATTAATAACTTTCAAAACATCAACATTAGCATAGATATTGAGTCACAATTATTATTATAGCAAATTTGCCATGCAAGACATTTGATATAAAATAAATAAACACTAAAATATACAAACATTCCCAAAATTACCTTGTCACCCAAGATTTCTGCAAGCTTCTTACTGATCTGCTGGGAGCCTCCTTTGAATTTGCGTTCCTGCCCGGCATTCTCGACATCAGCAATACGACAAACGCCGCCTGCACTTTTCAAATACCATAAATAATACAACAAGGACATGTCATAGGGTTCGGCTGCCATCGCGTCGTGAAAAACTTGATACATTCGCCTTTTCGCATAACTTGTACAGCAGGAATTATCGAAATATTCTTTCGCCGTCACTGTATCCCATTCCTTGGCCCGCTCTGCTTTCCAGGGCGAAACTAATGGCACTTGATCGCACATGTTATCTAACTTACGAATCTGAGCGTAATAATCCAAAATGGCAAGGATATTCCACGTCGAATGATCACCGCGGTAAAACGATGGTCTACCTCCAAAATGTTCCGTATCTTTGCCCTCGACGTACACCTTGTATGTTTTAATACCGAGGTGCTTAGCCATTCGTAAAATACGGTTCTGGGTAGGTCCCACATACGATCCGCCAAGGTCGACATATTTTACTTCGTCTCTCTCGAGAGTGTGTGTTCTCCCTCCAACTCTATCCCTCGCCTCAAGTACAACAGTTTTCAACTCGCCGTGCTGTTGCTGTAAAAGATACGCAGCTGATAAACCACTTATACCAGCGCCAACGATAACCACATCTAATATTTTTTCGAGTGTTTTTATTTCCTCCATCTTTTTTGCTTCGACCCATTGATTTGTTTATAACATGAAGTTTCCATAATTTTCAGAATGCAGTGCTTCCATTTTAAATTTCCGTAAAGAACTGAGATGAATTTTAAATGTTAAAATTCATTTCAGTGCCTTCATTGCTTTCGCCCCTCGTTTCGCCCTATACTAGTTTTTCTTTACAAACGAAGGTCACTTTTCGAATTTCAATTTCGAGTTGGGAGTATAACACGTTATAACACTGGCAGAAATCAGAAATGAGGAAAAAAATTCTAGAAAAAATATTCATCAAAACAAAAAAAGGAAATTCCTAGCTTCCTATTGACGCAAAAGACTTCATATAAAGATTAATGAAACAGCTCCAAGAACCAAGATTGATTTGCCTGTGGTCACAGATCTGTGATTTGGTTTTTAATAAGCTCGGTACTTGTAATTTGCTGAAAGTTTGAAGAAAATATCTGTGTTATTTGAATCAATAAGAAATATTAATACCATGGAGGAGGTTGATAATATAATCATTCACACTTTACGGCAGATTGGTTGGTGAGTATTTGATTCACTCAACTTGATTGTTCAAGGTCAGACAAGGTGTACACTGTACACTACCTGTATATTTTGTATAAATTAAAAATTTATATCGCTATTAATTGCATTAAATTGGATACCTAGGCCCTCCTGGTTCCTATAACGTTTAGTACCTTTATGCAACCACATCCATTGCATATCTATTGTATATATGTTTACTAGGCCATATTTTATACTAATTGTCAGGGGCAGATCTAACCGTCGGGTGCAGGGGATCACACCTCACCTAGTGGTGTCTAGCACACCCCTAGAGAAGTCCTGCACCACCATAAAAATCTGCTTGACCATATATTTTCTGCTTTTCGAATAGCAATTAGTGGAACTTTACTACTAATTAGCGCATGTTGGAAAATTTAGATTTTGATGTCTGGAAAATTTAGATTTTGATCGCTATAGTGGTTAGGTGCATAGTCTGCTCCATGGTCATGTTGTGATATAGGAGTCACGACGAGTCGCACTGCTATTCTTGTTCGTAATTTTCAAGGATTCTTGAAAGGAGTTTTATAGCACAGTTGTCCTAAAGAATTGTAGTGAAAGTGCCTTTCATTTCTAATTTTAGCAATCTCAATGAATCAGTTTTAAGTTTGAAGGAGTTCACAACGGACAATGTGATTGAGGCTACATCAACGTGTCTGCGTGTTATCAATGACGCCAATCAGTTTTCAAGAACGCTTCCTCCCAGCATGTCGGCAAGATTTCGCTTGGGTACTGGTTTAGCTCAAGCTTGCCAGGTTAGATATTCTGTTTTCAGAGAACTAGGGCTACTAATTAAAATACACAAGAGAAATCCCTCTTTCCTCTGTAGAAGATTGTGTTTTTCCAAAAAACCTTAAATGAAGCTAATCCCATATAATGCATGTAAGAACTTTTAAAAACACATACTGGCTATGTGCATACTGTAGGTGGCAGAACTATGGGGTGGGGCAATAGCCCCCAAAAGCAAAACACCCCCAGCCCCCAAGAAACTATCAGAGTAGAGGAACTATGAAGGTACGGTATTAAATTGTTTCACTGAAGATGAATCAAATGACATTAGTTTTGGCAAATCAAATCTTCCCTGGAATTCTGGAAATGCCATTTCAAGGGGGAAGTATGCCTCCAGACCTTTCATTTCTGGGGGCAGGGGGAAGTACCGTGTGCCTCCAGACCTATCTACAGTTCATCTAGCTCCCCCATCCAAACAAATCCAGCACTGCTTATGACTGTTTCTAAGAATGTGATGGGAATTAATCTCCATGCCTGATTCCTTTTGTCTCAAAAGATAAAATTACATGATCATAATGCATGCTTCAACTGAAAATCCTATATTTAGCTCCTTCTCCAATCAGCCACATAAATGGGAATAAGGAAACCCAATCATATACCATTTTAAAGACAGTTCAGCTGTACATAGTACTATACCGGTACTCGTAGTTGGACATTTCGATGTTCAAATAACTTCAAGGGAATTAAGTTACATGTACAGAGCAACTTTTGATTTTAAGGGTTTCTAATTAAAAATGTCGTGGAAGACTGCATTCTGTCCTTTTCATGCTCGAGATAATTTTTCTGCTATAGCGAGTCAGTGATTTACTTAATAGACAGAAAATGAGTTGTATTATTAATATATACTTTAAACCTGTTTTAAATTCGTAAAGTTATTTCCAAGGTAGCTAGAATATATTGTGTTTTAAACTAAAGTGCTCGGGATATTCTTTTAATTTTACAGCTCAAAATGGGAAAAATGGCTGGGGAATAAGATTTAGAAAAAAAGTGGGCTGGAAAATTGGATCTATAGACCCCTTGTCAGGACTGACTCCACGATCAACTCTCATTTTCGCTTGACCAAGGCTTAACCGATAGAACAATTGATAGTCAGTGGTACTTATATCGGTAGTGATGCAGACAATTGATATGCTTCTATTCAAAATTAATAGTTGAAATTTACAATAACTTAAATTAATATTAATCAAAACTGCATCGTTAATTTTTCTTTAAATGTACAATACATGCAGTAGTTTAACACTATTTCATTTTTTACTGAGGTCAGTGTTTCTTTAACATTTAATGATTACTTCATTGTTTCAACCATGGTTGTGTTAAAAAGGAACTTGGTTTTAATGGCGTCATTGGCTATCAAACGTTTCTCTATCCCACCGAAGGAGACATCAGAACTCTGTTTATGTTTTTGGTTGAACGATTGCCTAAAGAGAGTGCTGAGGCTGCAGATGAACCCATGGGTAAGATTACTATACTCTAATCTACTGTACTGTACAGGGTGTCTGAAAACATCCCCCATGCACTATTATTCCATGGTATTACCATGGATAGTTAAAATGGATAGGGAACAGCTAACACATGCAGACGTGACCTACAGTACCGTATTTGAAATTTGTGATGTCACACGAATACAACCAATCTGTAAAGTTTCTTCCACTTTCCTATATTTTTCGCACTCATCAATGTAGCTATTATATTAATTGAGATTCAAAATAACACGCTGATATCAAAGGAACTAGACTGAGTTCTGAAATATCACCAACTCGAACCGACTTGATCTCGTACTGTAGCTCAGTTGGAAGAGCATTGGACTAGCAAACCAAAAGTTGCGGGTTCAATTCCCACCGCGGTCAAGCAAACTTTTCAGTTTGCCCGGTGTGGACACACTCAGAGACAACATCACCAACATATATCTTCACCTTAAAATACCTTCCATCCCACGTAGTTTCCATTATTTGGACAATTGGAAATATTGGACAATTTGAAACATGCATCTTCGAATGACAAATTGTCGTCGAACTGCTGCCGAACTTTATACGATGATTTTTAGTGTGAAGTTTCTTCGAAACTTCACAGTATTGTGATGACTGGGGGGAAATTCAAACGAAACAGTCAGTCATTCAGTCAGTCATTCATTCATTCAGTCAGTCATACAGTAAACTTTCCGGGGGGTGTATACGGTATGTGTTCGTAGTGATTTATCGTACTTAGTCTGTGCTTTGAAGGTTATTTAGGCAATTTTAGTTGTCTTATTTAAATATTCTTTAGGTCTTTTGCCAAGTTTTGCCAAGTTTACAAGAAATTCGAGGAATTGTTGTCGTTATTGTAAATTTTATAACATGCGCTTCTCATGTTGTGTAAAGGATTTTTCCCCCGGAACACCCGATTTTTTCTTTAGCAGCGCAAATGCGCATGCGCTATCAAGCCGTAGATCACGATGGCGTGACGATGCTAGGAAGGAGCGAGACAGTGTTGTTTTGAAATGTATAAACATTTCAGACGTGAATATTGAGTAAATCTTCGAGAATCTACGCAATATATAAATTGATGTTATGCAATAATGCATTCAATTAAGTGCCGATATTATTTAGACCGGTATATTCATTTTACAGAGCTAGCAAGGAGCTAGGACAATTTTACAGAGCTAGCAAGGAGCTTTTTGCTTTTTTCAAGTGTAGCAAGGAGCTAGGACAGTGCTTTTTTTCAAGTGTATATATTAAACATTTCAGACGTAAATATTGAGTCGAAAATCTTTGAGATTTTAGGCATTCAATTGAGTGCCGATATTATTTTCACGGTATACCCATTATACAGAGGTAGGAAAGTGCGAGAGAGTGTTGTTTTCAAATATATAAACATTTCAGACATGAATATTGAGAAAATCTTTCAGATTCTACGCAATATATAAATTGATGACGTTATGCATTACCGGCACCCAATTAAGTGCCAGAAGATATATTGTTTAGGCCGTGTATTCATTATACATTGGCCACATTGGCTGTATAAGGTGCTACACCACAGAATAGATGGCTACACTTAGTACAACGAGCGAAATTTGCATCAGACAAAGCGTAAACAACTATTAAACAGAAGCGGGTGTTTGTACGGCGTTTACGACGAAAATAACTTGTGAGTTGTGATCGAGACTAAAAGAAATCAGTTGAGTCTGCAAAGCTCTTTATTTAAACAAGATAGACGAGGCTCTTTATTTAAACAAGATAGACGAGGATCGAGTTATAGCCAACGTGTTATCGCCAATCGCTTGGCTTGCCAACAAGCTTTATGCAATAGAAGAAAAAAGCAAGGAGGTAGCCAACGTGTACCGTCAAGGACTTACTTTGTTTACTGTCTAGCACAACGTCAACAGTGCAAACTCGTGTTCAATGCAACGATAACACTACCAGATCTTACGAGAATCAATCTGTACACAGAGCCGTATCAAAGCTTGTTAAAACTGCTATAAACACTGCTATAACTGTGAAACTATTGAAATCTAAAGTGACATTATTGAATACACGCGAAAAGCTGAAAATGACTCATGAAACGCAATGTGACATTGCCATTGCGAATATAAAGTCAAAGGTCAATCAGACTTGTTATTGTGAGACATGTCACAATTAGGTTAAAATGCGGAAGCGGATGGAGCGGATCCACGGAACGGATATGGGGATAAAATATAGAACGGATGGGGATAAAATGCGTTCTTTTAATGATACGACGTCGTAGTGCTTATTATTCATAACATATCTTATACAGCTATTTGGGTGATGGGAATAATCATATTAAATAAGTTCAGCGTATCAGTACCCTCGTTAGGATGCTTTTAGCGACAGCTGCAAATACAAATGAAGTTTTAGAATATGCAAAATTTGGGTGTTGGTGAAACAATTTAAATTTCGAGTTATCGCGTGTAGCATCACAATAAATAAATAAATTGTATCAGTTCCACGAGGCACGTTTCTGATCTGTTAGGCTTGTTTCAAACATGGCGCTACTCATGTGCCGAACGCATTATAAAGTAGATAATGAGATGAAATGCCTTTGGTAACTGTTTATTTCGTAGTGTAAGCCATCAGCCTTTCTAGGTTGTCGGCGACCCTATATAATTATTGTTGCAGTGTCTTTTTCAATTCGAAACTTCACACTATCCTTGGATCCCTAGTTTAGATTATGAAGACTGTTAATACCACTTAGTGAAGAACTATTGAATGGGTATAGTTTGTTCGCATTCCATCTCTCTTCTTATTTCGTAAAAGGTGGTGCAATTCTGCTAAATAGAAGAATAGCAAGTGAATTGTCAAAGATTCTTGCTGGAACATGGATACCTCCTTTTTGTAAGAGAAGTGGTATTTGTTGGAGTGGAAAAGATGGCAAGACGTGGCATAGAGAAGTACGTATCTTGCGATATTATAAGCTCAATTAAACAAACAAAAACTTTAAGAGATATTATAGATAGTATAATAGCCCAGAAAATGACTCTCAAACAATACATAACAAAAAGAATAAAATTTACTTGCTATAACGTTTCGTTGTATATAATAACTAGGCTACATGCATCACAACATCTTCCAAGCATTTAAATTTTATGTCTTGTTTGAAAGTGATTTGCTGGTTTTAATATTTATACAAGCTCATACATAATTATACACCAGCATATTTAATTATGGATCCTCTGCATGAGTATTTGCTATATTTGTTTAGGGAGTTAAAGGAGTACATCCATTTCGTTCATCTCCATTGAAATACCCGAAAGGACTTGGTGACTTAACACGCAAAATTTCAAAAGGTATTATTGGCCAGGGTTTTTTTTCTGCAAGACTATACAGTATAATCACCATACAATTAGACGTTATCTGAGGCCGGTTGTGTAAAAGGCTTATAACTACTTATTAACTATCCGTTTTGTAGTTAAATAGTAATTAACTATCAAATACGCGATTCTGATTGGTTAACTTTTCAGTAATTGTAGTTAATTTCAACTGCTTTTTTATACAACCTTTTTTATACAATATACTGTATAAATTTTTATATGCTTAATTTTATCGTTACTTTTTAGATGCGAAGCAGTACTATGATTCCTCAGCAATGCCATTAATAACCTCACAGCCTCCTTCAAGACACAATATTTCAGATTCTATTTTGGAGGCAAATTCTCTGAAGGTGTCAAGTGATATGGAATGGGAAAATGAGTGGAATCACAGTGGATTGGCATCAGGTCTCACGCCAGAGGTACAAATTAATTAACAATACTTTTATAAGTATACAGTATAAGACTAAAAAAAAACAAAGAAATACTATCAATAAAATGGGACAACAAAGGGGTTATAAAAAGCATAAAATTTTGCTGTAATCAGAGAAGACAAAAAATGCAGAATGGCCAAAACTGACAATTAGCAACTGAAACAAGGCACGAAAGTCACTTCTTCCTTTAAAGTTTATAAACCGAGATTTAAGATCTTTTGTTTTCCGGTTTTGTAGTTGGTCCCCCTGAATCTGAGCCCACTACTCTAGATAGTGGTTTTGCCCAATATATTGCCTGCTGATATAATAGTCCAACTACCCCCAAATTTTGATTTTTAAATGTGTTATATTTGGGTCATTCTGAAAAGAAATATAATATATCTATCATACTGTAGTAAGTTAATCTCATTTTAATCAACTTTGTCACTGTCAAAGTTTCCAGATATGATGTTAAAGTTTCCAGATATGATGTTTGTACTGTCAAAGTTTCCAGATTTTAATCAACTTTGTCACTGTCAAAGTTTCCAGATATGATTTTCCAGATATAATTGATGAATTACAAATTAGCTTTCCTTTGTCTTCTGCCCCAAAAAATCATAATGACATCATATCCTGAATGTTTGGCAGTAAAAAAGTTGATGAAAATGAGTTTACGTTCACATTTAATTCTCAACTCACATTTCGTCTTAGAAAGATCTAAGTATTACCCAATTATTACCAAAATTCATTTTAAGGGCTAGTGACACTTTCAGATATTTTGTTATTGTTGCTCAGGGTAGTTTTGCAATATTTCTTATACATTTGTCCATGTGACTTGCAACACGACCCATTCAAATTGGAAACATTGCAACCCCTACCAATTTATGATGAACATATCTTAGGAATATAAAGCGAAGAAGCAGGAAAGACTTTTAAAGAAATTATCAAAGAACATTCAAGCTGAAGTACAAAAGGCAAATGTTGAAAGTTCCAGATTAAATAAACAAGACTTTAATGAGATGATCCGAGAAATCTCCGGTAAGCGGTAAAAATAAGTGCGCACTGCCTAGACGTCCCCAATAGACAATTCCCGAATTTGCTTGAGTTAACATGAGATAATGGTTCAAGTTTTCTTCAAGGCTGATATGACCTAAAACAAATGGCAATCATAAAATTTAAGAATTTATATATGAAGATACTGTACAACTTTACTCATCGTTGTTGGTTTTCGAAATCTTTCGACCTGAAAAGCATGCAAGCTTCAATATTCATGACGTTACTATGCATAACATCAACTGAGTTAAAGGTAAATTTAACTTGCCAATCACATTTCATTTTGAGCCTGAAACTTGATCTCTTTAGGCTTTTTCTATTTCTAATTGGTTCACAGCATATCCATGAGTCCAATCCTAGGGTAAAACGTCTTCGACATTCAGTCCCAGTTGACAAATCCAGGCCTTAGTTGCAGGTTGTTCTTTCTTTTTCTTCTTCCATCTCTTCCCTTCTAATCCTGCACGGTTTCGAAGATTACTATTCCTTGTCGGATAATCGATTGACTGCCAGAGATTCCTGTTTGCGTTTGTTTCCCAATTGCTGACATCTAATAAGTTACATTTTCTCATGTTGGCTCTGAAGATATCCTTCAATTGCTTTCTTTGTCCGCCTCTTCTACGCTTGCCTTCCTTAAGTTGTGAGTAGAAGATTAAGGCCCAGTGTTCGCATACATGCAGTATTATATCCCTGAACTGAAATTGAATGAATAACTTTGTTACTTTATTTTTTGTTTTCTCCCTGTGCAGAACAAAATGTCAGTGCCGGCCACGAGCATGTGGGATCGAGATTTACACGTTCAGAGAAGCTTCAGTTTACTCAGGTGAGACAAGAACACAAGCATGCGCGTGGTGGAATAAACTGTTAAAGAGTGATGGGACGAATGTTTTGTTTGTTCAATATAGGATGAAGAAAAGGAATTGGCAGCGGTGGCGGCTATGACTGAAAATGCCGGAGCAAAAATTGATACGGAGGAGGTCTGATTTCTATATATTTATATTCTTACATACCATTGTATAAATATGCCGAGACAAATTGAAAACACGAGTGGTTTTAGAAGAACTCAAATCTCTACATTAGAATGAAATCCAAAGACAAAATCGGGTAACTCGTAACTACCCGAATTACTGTATAGCCTACATTTATACTGTATGCACGAGTTATCAACTCTCGTGGATAATGTTAATTCTTGGTTAACTTTGTTTTATTATTTTTTATTCTGGCATAAGCCACTTGAATGTGTATTATATTCTGGAGACACTTTTTGAAACTGTCTGACAGCAAGTAATTCACTCTTTTTTAAAAAAATTATCACTTATACTGTACCAAAAGAGCGTCACTTATCCGTCATGATGTATATGGACCAATTCTAATTGCAGGAAATTCAAGCGCGAAGAAAGGAAGAGATTGACGCCATGCAAGGTCGTTTGACGGAGCTGACGAGTCGCCTTGAGGGACTAGAGATTGATATGAGGAAATTCACTGCAACAGTTGAACAGGTAACGGGTCCGACAATTTTATATATCACTGATAATTCGTCTGTGTATATGCGGGAACAGCGGATTATCCATATCACAGCATCTTACCTGACAAGCTACCTACGTAAAACGAATGAAAATTATTTAATTATAATCAATGCGTTGTATAAACTATATTAACTATTATACAATAACGATCGTTGGTCGAGAGCATAGATTGTCGAGAGACATGATCTATTAGAGGACAGACGCACAGAATTACGTCACACAAAACCTTATCCAATAGCATGCATTCCCTTATTTGTACGGATTATGTACGCTTGATATTTGTAAAATTTCGACTTTTTCAAATTTCCTAATGTTTGGGTGCATGGATAAAAAGTAAGCTATTACGGAAATCACCGAACTGTGGAATCGCATCAAAAATTCGTATCGCCGCCACTCCCACAAACGTCTATACGACCGTATCTACATATTTTTGCATGTTTACAAATTTTAATCTTAATTAAACAGCCAATCCGGTTCTTGGTAACAATTACAATTAAACGCGTCGATTGGCTGTTTAAAATTAGAATTGTAAACATGCAAAAATATGTAGGTGCGGTCGTAGACGTTTGTGGGAGTGGCGGCGATACGAATTTTTATGCGATTCCACAGTTCGGTGAGTTTCCGTAATATTTACCTTTTTAATTCAAGGTTTTTCTTTTGATTATATAAAACAAATAGATAAGATTTTGCCGGTGTCTGTTCAGTTATAGATACACAGTATGACGTCATAATGTAGAAAGAACAAAAAAGTGGCTCACGAGCCGATTTTATCTATTTGTTGAAAATTAAACTCTTAAAAGAAGAAGATATCAACATATCAGTATTTATATGGCTATAAAATATTTAAAAACTATCAATTTATATAACTTCAATGATATATTTTCGATTCAGTGCATGATCGAATTTCACTGAAATGTTGCTTCAGTTAAAAGGAACATCAAAATCATTGAATAGAAGGAATCAGTTTACGCATATAGATACGTCTTTAGACGAACTACATATAAGAAAAAAATACCATTATATAAGTAGATCGTGCAATTACAGTTCGGCTTGTTTTGATCATTGACGCATGATACGTCTCATCTAAATCGGGACAATTGTTTACCTACCGATAGTTTAAATTTCAGATTGAAAGTATTAATATTTAAATCATAGAATAACTTGTAAGAATCAACAAAGGCATACATGTATCTGAATTGAGCGAGGGCCTTTGGAGTTTGACATGAGATGTGTTTCTCATTTACGCACCTATAGGCGCAAGAACAAACGGAATTTCTGCAGAGGAAAAATAAAGAGGAAGAGGATGCTTACAAAGTGAGGAAAAGAACCGCAGATTTATTACCAGATGCCAGCAACAATATTGCTAAATTGGAGGTTCGTGTGGTTAATCTACTAGACTAGTAATATATGATGGGAAAATATTATGCAATTAATATTTAAGTATTAAATATAGTGCGTTAGTTCATTCGTCAGTTCATTCGTTAGTTAAGAAATGAGTTTCTACTGAAGCTCACCAATGACGGGCAACAGTGTTTCGTACCCTCAAATGGATCTCCGATTTTGTTTACTTTTTTAACTTAAGGTTGTTCTAGTGTTGGATGGTTATGTTCGCGATCAACACTGCTGTATTTCAGCTATATACCAATAACGTCACAGGCTTAGCCTATTACCTACAAAAGAAACTGAACTACTGCATGTATACATGTATATTTGTGTCTCGAAAACGATGACAGATTTTGAGACACCATAGAATAACTCGTGTTGCAGTCTAAAAAATCCATTCTTCAAATCATCTAGAGGCAAACAACCTGACTGGCTGGCTGGCTGGCTGGCTGGCTGGCAGGCGGAGTGGACCTCCCGACCGACTCAACTGACTGAAAAAAATCATCATTGTGCTTAATAAATGATGTGTTTTTTTCTTAGACCGTGGTAGAGAGTAGTTCCACGAGATTAATAACCCTCGCCAAACAATGGGAAGAACATCGCAAGCCATTGATTGAACAATATCGTGAAATGAAAGCTTTAAATAGCACCAGACTGGTAAGCTTATCCTTTGTGAATTAATGCGGGATATGGCGGAGTTGTGCATGGTATGGATGTGCAGCCTGAAATAATGTTCAAAAAACGCCCGGAAAAAATGTCCGACCAAAAGGAAATTTGTCAGGAGATTTTCAAATTTGGTCGGACATCATGTTTTGGATTTTATGCCAAGAATGTGACTACAATATTATGAAATTCTTGATTGTGTCTCGCAAGCTAAAGAACCGCGTATAAATATGAAATTTCTCGTTAAATCGAATAAAGTGATAGTTATATTAATAATATACGATTGCTACTATTCTAGAGTGAAGCCCAAAAGAAAATTGAACAAATTCGTAATCTCCGTGAAAAGATGAAGGAGACGGTAGAAGAAGTTCGTAATAGAGATGATCTTTTGAAAGATTTGGTAAGAAATGCTCAAGACTTTTCTGGTTATAGAAAGTATATTTATCCGACCTACAGTAGATAGTCGTGTTATAGCGCGAGTATCAGGCCATTTTTCCTTTCTTAAATGCGGATGGATGGAAAGAAAAACAGGAAGCTGCAGATTGAAAAGGGCCTTCGCTCGAAACGTCGACGTTTTTGTTGTATTTTTAGGTAGTTTAATACCTCTCAATCTGCAGCTTTCTGGTGTCATTGTCACTACCTACGCTAGCTGGCACAGCCCGTTCGAGTTTATATGTAAGAAAAACAGATATTCCTGTTTGACCGCGCCGTATATAGAAAAGCCAAAGTTCGGCTTGTCACCAGATTAGTCTGCCAGACATAGAAAATTATTCTAATGTGTCCTTTTGTTTGGTTAATGCTGATTAGGTAACACTGTTGTTTTTCTGTTGTTCATGATATATTTAGTAATTCCACTTTTAATATTAAGGAGTTAATTAACTCCCGGTACGGTTATTTTGAACCACAGTATATAATTTACATTATTGTTGCTATATATATATGCATGTGAAACTGACATTTCCCACATTTACTGACACACTGAAACGTTTTTAAAATATTTTTGTAAACAGGGCTTTTGCTTGTCGATGTTAGACTGAAGTTCTTTCCAATAATTTTTAAGTCAAAATACGATAAGAATATCAACCATCAACCATGCATATTTACTAATATCAACCATCGTATGAAAGTGTGCTTTACTGTTTATACAGGTAACCGAGTACCAAAATATGGTCAAAGATGTTAATAGATCGGCTTACACGAAGAGAATCCTGGAAATTGTTGCGAATATTAAGAAACAGAAGAATGATATTGATAAGGTATAAGGAGAGGATATTTTAAATATACTACCATATTTTGCACAGCACATTCAGAATATGCACGCCTGTAAACATCAATATAAAACACGTGGGCGTGTTGAAGAAAATGTAGCGGATTACACAATCCATTTTCACTTTCACTAGAAGTGAAACTTCTAAAACACTAATGTCCGTGCAGAACAATCTGTAGACGGCCATGTCAGCATTTTGCTCGGCTAATGGACTGCTGACTCAAATTGGGAGAGTCATAAGGCCGGTTTACACGACCAGTGTTTTGGGCACGGCACCCCTAAAAATGGGCACCCGTACCCAAAATTTTTGGCACGGCACCTCTGCCTTTTGGCGTGTAAACGTGACAAAAATCGGCACCGGTGCCGCAAAATTTAAACGTGCCCAGACTTTCTCACGAGGTAGTCTCGGCACGTCTAGCAAGGGGTGCCGTGCCCAAATTTCGAAAAAACTAAAAAATGTGTTTGACATCGAGCATGCGCAA